GATCTTGAGCTAGTCTTGGTCAAGAACTAAAAGGTTGGAAGATTTTACCGTATGTATGCTTTTGGTTGATGTGGGAAACCAGACTGCCCAGAAGAAACCCACCCAGACACAAAGAGAACAATCAAACTCCACACAGAAAGGCCATAGAAACCAAACCCAGAACCTTCTTGCTGTGAAACGTGAGCACTAACCCCCGTGACCCTTCTTCTCTCCCTCCTCTGTCCACTCCTCCAGCCCCAAACATGTGGAGTCTGTCCGGGCCTGTCTCTGCCCCACCTCGCTCTCGGTGAGGATGACTCAGCTGATGGGGGCAGAGGCTCACACCAGAGGCTCTCGTGCAGCACACACATGAGAGATTTCAAAAAGAACTCCTCAGGTCGTGTTTCACTGGAGGGAAAGTCATTATGCACATTATTGGTTCTAAATTAAGGAAATCTCTGCTAATTATCATATCTGATGTGGAGCCAGTTTTGTAATTACACCTGCCACACCTCTGTAATATTCAGTGCAGTTTATTTTTCTACAGCCCAAAATCACCTCACAGGACCTTTGATTATAAAACCAAACTTTAAAGGTACGCTGTGTCACTTTTCTGGTAGAGAGTCCACCATCTTCTGGTCTCCGTGGAAATATTGCTATTACTGTTTTGCCTTAATTTTTCCACAGTATGGAAAAAAACTTGCTAAACATTTCCACTCAATTTCATTTCTCTCCAGTGACTAGGTCAGGAATTGGAATACAGTAGGCGGTTTGCAAGAACCCCCGAAGTTGTAAACGGCACACCAGCCAGTCATCGAAGAGCTGTGAAGCTATGACGTCAAACTCAAGCTCCTGTCTGGGTCCCTTTTGTGGTACAGTACAACAGTAAACAAAGTGGTCGAGATGGATGTAAACGAAGCCATACATTCTGTGTTGGCAATGATTCCCGAGATCAAAAATTTAAAGGCGGAACAAAGAGAATGTTGGGTGAAATTTATCAAGGGGAAAGACGTTATTGCCCTTCTTCCTACGGGATTTGACACACTATATGCATCACGACCAAATAGCAGCGATTGGTTAAAGAAAAAAAGTACCCACCTACCATCGAGCGAATGAAAACTAATGCTACAAGGTCAGACGGTTTCCACAAAGTGAATCCGGCTGATGAATCAGGCTAAATGGAGTCAGGTTAACAGTCAGGTCTATGGACAAACAAGCCTGCACATGGTAATAGTGGAACAATCCAAGCAAGGAAATAACCTCTCCACGGAGACGAGCAGGTAGCAGATCCTCCACCTTAGAAGTTCACACAGTGCACCTTTAAATTATTATTAGATGTTAACTGTTGGTCTGAAACGTATAGGTTTATTTTTGCTTTTTATGATAAAACTATTGTAGCTGGTTGGATGAGTGTTTACACATAAACCCAAAAGCTGATCCCTTCTCCAGTCATTGTATGGTGTTGTTGTGTCCTTCGGCAAGACACTCGAATGTGCTGTGAGTGATGATGGTGGTCAGAGAGGCGGATGAAGCAGGTTGGCCTCCCCACTTTTAGAAATCTAACCCAGGACAGCTCTGGCTTCCAAAGTAATTTCCCAAACAGACTGGAGAATGAAACTATCTCTTCCACCTTTTGATGTTATGTGAGAATACAGGAAACGCTCCACTGTGTTTTTAAACTCCATACACTTTCACTAGAATCATCTGGATGATTTCAGCGCTGGAATTGCCAATCTCTTCTGAACAAAAGTCAAAATGTAGCTGTGGTAACTTGAAAACTGCTGCTTCATGATAATCGATTTTTGATGAGATAACAGTATTATAACATTTAATCGTACCCACACCTCTTACTTATGTTTCAGGTTCTCATGTTAGCTCCATCAGTGCCAGGGCTCGATGCCAGGGCTCTCCGTGACAAAGAGGAGTCCCGGCATCTGCACATAGTCTCCCTTGGGTGCATAATTAACGGTGTGTATATCTGTGGATGTGCTGGTTTGAATGGGAGTGTGTGTCGGAGCAGGTGTTGGAGCAGGTCTGAGGTGGGACCATGTGGGTGGCGAAACTTTCTCCCAGGACATTTTTAGTCTTGAGTCTTTTATTTGTGTCCTGGAGCACAAAAGACTGGCATATTTGAGGCTCACAGTATTATATAGAGTTATGCATGACAGATTTTATTATATGGTGCTGTAATGTGGTAAACACACTTAATGGGCTCATATTACGTTATTTTCTGATCTGGTATAGTGTTGTTTCCTCATCACAAACAGACCTGGAGTTGTGTTTTGTTTTATTCACACATGTTTAACACACACTCTCTGCATATTTAGGCTGAGTTCTTCTCTCAGACTAAAAACACTTTGTTCTGCCTTGTGATGAAGTTCTCCACTGTGTTTTTAAACTCCATACACTTTCACTAAAATCATTTGGATGGTTTCAGCGTTGGAATTGCCAATCTCTACTGAACTAAAGGTAAAAGGTAGTTGTTTATTTGAAAACTAAGACTACATGATATCTAGGGGTGTGCAAAAATACCAAAATATCAATATATCGTATCGTTTAATGTGATGATGCCGTATCAATGTCACGTTTAAAGCAGAAGTAAGACCCAAAATGCAAGACTACAATTCTGAAGTTGTTTAGTAAAATGAAGAATGACCAAACACAAAAATCCAAACAGATGTGAAACTAATAATAACAATGAACCAACAAAGGGCAAAAGAGTACACAGGGTCTATATACAAACAAATGAGTGAGACACAGGTGAGACACATTAGGGCGGGGCAAACAATCAATACAACAGGAAGTTAAAACACACAGAGAAATCCAAACTAAAACCGGGTCAAAGAATAGTAAGATAAATCAATGATAATAAACACCATGACAATCGATAACTTAAAATTTCACTTCAAAGATGCATAATGTAACTTTTCTGGTAGAGTGTCTTCTATAGTACTGTCAGGGTTGGGCTTGCCTTTTCACAGATCTGACGTGGTGCTGGTCATGGCAGTAGATAAGCGTAAAGCCATACTGTGTAACGTGGCAGTACAACGCAATAACATCTCCACAGCAACAAGTGGCAAACCCTCTTCAGTAGGGGTGAGCAAACCTATCAAAATATCAATACATCATATCGTTTAATGTGATTATACAGTATTGATATCGGGGGCTGCTGTATCAATATATCACCAAGAGTATTTTTTGGTATATTTTACTCAAGTATTTAATTTCAGTGCTACGGTTTTGTTGCTTGTTTAGAAGAAGGAAACTCATTTTTGCAACCTATTTGACATTTTCACTATTTTGAGGATTAAAATAGGTGTGATTTATATTCACTTTGCACAAGAAGTGGTTTAACAAAGACTTTTAGTATCACAGCCATGATTTGGACTTTTTTTTAACTGAACTGTATTGAATCGTGAGCTCACTGTATCAAGGTATGTATTGTATTATGGCCTGTGTATTGAGGTATGTATCGTATTGGTAACTTCTTAATGATACCCAGCCCTAATGACATCACAAGGTGGAACAGAGCATTTTGAGCTTTGGAGATGTAGACAGACTAATAAATTATTACTCAGACGTGTGAATGAAACAAAACACAACTCCAGGTATGCTTTTGAGAAGGTAACAACATTATAACATGACTTAAAACTCATAAGAGCCAAGTTTTTTATGTAATATCTAGCTTCTAGGGTGGAGGGCTACTTATGTGTCTCCTTGAAGATGTTATTTTTTTCCTCCACACAGTAGTTCATTAAATATCTCTTTGGCGTTTGTTCAATTACATGTGTTTTATAGCTGCAAAATACCTTCAAAACATAAATTCTTAACATGTGCAGGCTTGCTCATCCATAGATCTGATCATTCTGTCTCCACTGTGATTACCAAGTTTATTTCCATTTTTAGTGACAAGTTTATTTCCATATTGCAGAATAATCAAGGTAATACAGTAATATATCCATGGAGACAAGCAGGTGCTGAACCCTCTACCAGAAAAGTTACACAGTGCACCTTTAAATGAGCTTTAAATGTATAATAATGTTGGTTCACCTAGGGAGCTTTTTTCTATTTTATGCATGTTTGAGTAAGCATTGTTTTTGTTTGTTTGTTTGTTCGATGCAGGCAAACATTGTTCAGTTCCACCAGCTGATGTCATCAAGTGGTAGTCTCCTTCTCTCGCCCTTCACTTATGATTCTGCAGCAGTCATAAAACAGCCATAAAACATAAAACTCCAATCCAAAAATGTAAAACATGTAAAAGAAAAAAACTACAATTAATGCATCAAGACTATACCAAATAATACCTTGCTGGAACAGAGCTGGTGAATATATGGAATATTCCAAATGAGAATGATGGGGTAATTGCTCATTCAACATCTGAGTAAGAACTACATTTAGTCACAGACAAAATAGGAATGTCTGTTTTAAAAAGGTTACATTTCATTTTCATCTTGTTGTAACTTTTTTTTGGTAATATTTTGTTTTATAGTAGGTATATTTGTGTTTTTATATATATATATATATATATATATATATATATATATATATATATATATATATATATATATATATATATATATATATATATATGTGTATATAAAATGTGTTTAATTTACTTTACTGACATCACGTTGGGGGTGCCTGTATGTCTATGGCAGAATGTTCCGCAGTCAGCAATTGCCATGGTGACACAATGCACACTTTACCAAATAAGTTTAAAATTTGTCTGAAAACTCAAGAAAAAATACTAACTGGATTTAAAGAGCACATTTTCAGGAGCCTGTGATTAATACAAGTGTTCACGGTCCTGTTCAGGTGTTAGATTTTTAACAAAAAGGTGAGAGTGACTGAACTGAAAAACTGGTGACTAATGTTTTTTGAGAAACTTATCTGCACAAATCATCTCACTTGTTGTAGTTCCAGCAACATCAGTTCTTTGTGTTTAGACTGTGTTGAATCAAAGATCAGATTAAAGTCTAACTTGAGTAACAGAGCTTCAGACAGAGGGAATGTAGATGACATCAGTAAGTATCAATATTTTATTTTCAAATTTCATACAAACACAGCACCCTTGAGCGAAATATTCTTTACAATTCATTCAAAAATACAACAAATCCCCAAGAAACCCCATCCATATTCTGACTTCCTCTCTCTGTAACAACTGCAGTGAGCCTCATTTTGATCTTAGAATATTTGTATTAACCCGCTCCTGGTGTTTTTATTTTGCTATTTTGTCTGTAAATAAATTCCTATTCCTAATCAGAAATCAACTCAAAATCCGCTCATATAACTGCCAGACTCGTGAGCTTCATTTGACCCGAGCCAAACACTATGGGTGACTCACATTCCCTTAGTCCACTTCTTTGTACAGTCTATGGTCAGAGAGGATATAAGAATAAAAGGTTTTATGTGTATTATTAGAACCAGCTATTTCAAGATGACTACTAACCCAATACCAACAATGATTCAGCCCCAAACTAAAGAATCCACCACAAACTAAAGAATCCACACAGTAGTCATGACTCTGCTGATTTAAGCCTGTTCCAGTCAGTCGTATGGAAGGACCTTGGGCTTGTTGTAAATGGTAAATGGTGTCTGTACATTTCCACAGTGGGAGAATAGTGAAAGCGCTGGAGGCTCTGTGTCAGATTCCTGTGATTTCTCAGGCTGCAGGGGGAAAGTGAGAAATTCCACTGACAAATGCAAACAACCGCAGTCCAGTCTATAGGATTTGGGCCATGCAGACTGTTCACTAGACATGAAACAGACATACAACACACATACACATACATACGCACTGCAAAAAGTTATGCCAGCCTCTCAAAATGACTGTATAGTACACTGTGTAACTTTTCTGCTTGTCTCCATGATGATGTTATTACTTTGCCTGACGTGTCCTACATTATGACATTGAACAGATATATCTTGTATCAATTCAATTACAGGTGTTTTTATTTCTTAAAATTACTGTGAACACATGCATTATTACTGTGCTCAGGGCCACTTCTCCACAGATCTGACCCGTAACTTGGCCTGATGATGTGAGTTGCTTGTCTTCATGGAGATGGTTAAATTAAATGCCATACTGTTGAACATTTCAGGGGGGGAAAAAGCATGGAGTCAAGCAAGTGGTGGACCCAAAAGTTACACAGTGCCCCTTTAAAATTGCACTGCAAAATATTTCTGCTCATCACCATGGATATATTATGGCATAGCCTGAAATGTTTCACAGTGTGGTATACAATTTTCTTACTAAAGTTTAACTAAAAGTACTGGATGATACTGGAGCAAAAAATACTAGTAAAAGTATTAAAATACCCATTTAAAAACGTATTTGAAGAGGAAAAAGTCAAAGCATTTTGTGAAGACTTTGAGACAACAATGGAATAGATATTTTTATTTAGTATTTATTTGTATATTTTTCTTTGCTCAAACTACAAATGTGTTAAAGTAAGTTCATAAGCCTTTTCAGCAGGTCTCAGATTGTAATCAAAATACTTTTATTTTTCAGTCCAAAAATGAGTATAAAGTACAGATACCTGCTCTCATATGTAAAAGTAAAAAGTATCTTTCAAATATCTTTTGAATGTATATGTATAAGTTTGTGTATATTTATGTGTATATGTATATGTATGTGGATATTTATGTGTATGTGTATGTGTATATGTACATGTGTATGGATATTTATGTGTATGTGTTTATGTACATGTATGTGTATATATACATGTATGTGTATATTTATGTGTATGTGTATATGTATGTGGTCCCATTATTTAAATAAGAATGTTTTCTTAGTCATTCATTTACAAACCTCTCAGTGGTTGTACAGAAAGTGTACACGTGAACAAAATTACATTCAATTTGGGTTTTCAAGAAAAGTCTAATTTATTATCATACAACAATATCAGAAGTTGTACTCTCTTCAGAAACAGTCATCTCCATATAATTGTACCATTTCAAAGCACTGGGATCTGTATGTGAAAGATCACTAAAAGTCCCTACCTAATACCCTAACTACCATTATCTACCATTAACTACCATTAACTACCATTAACTACCATTAACTACCATTAACTACCATTAACTACCATTAACTACCATTAACTACCATTATCTACCATTAACTACCGTTAACTACCATTAACTACCATGTACATTCACTTTAGCTTTGAAGAGGTACATATTACAGTGTGTATGACAGATTTTCATGTTTTTCTTATTTAATAGGATAGTACCTGTAGTCAGTGATGGAACATAACATAACATAAAGTAAAAGTACACATTTTAGGTATCTTTAGTACATTTTCAAGTGAATACTTTTTACTTTTACTTCACTACATTTGAAAGCAGGTATCTTTACTTTCTACTCCATTACATTTTTGAACTGGACTGAAAAGTAAAAATATTTTTTTATGATTGTCTGAGACCTGCTAAAAAAGGCTGAGGGTTTATTTTTTTAACACATTCATAGTTTGAGCAAACACAAATACACAAAGAAAAACAGCTAGAAAATCACTAGATCTGAAGCTTCATAAGACCTCAAAATCGTGTGAAATACTTTTAATTCTTTAAGTACATTTTTAAACAGGTCCTTTCACATTTTTACTTAATTAGATTTTTTCATGTGATACTTTTTCTTGAGTATTTTTTTGCTCTGGTATCTGTTGTGTACTTCTTCCACCACAGCCTGTAGTAAATATTTATCACAGTTTTACCTCAGTTAAGTTTAGGAAAAAAAGTTTGAGGAAAAGAAGTTTACAAGAAAAAATACAAAGAAGATACAGGAAGTAACTGTGGGTTTTAAAACAAGGAAACAAGGAAAGGAAAATTCCATTCAAAATGCACAGTTTACACACAAGGAAGACATTTTCAGACAGTTTATACTGTCTTTTAACTACATAAAGGTGTTGTAAATAATTTTTATTAATCTACTCATAACTATTGTGTAATTTAGACTAGATTTGACCCTTGTTGACATTATGTGTGAATTTATCAAAACACAACTCCATGTTTTCGAGGAGATCACAACATTCTAACATGACTTAAAGCTTAATACAGAGCCTTTAAACTGTCAGATAAATGCCTCCCTTGTGTGCAAACTGTCCCAGCATTTTGGATGTAATTGATATTTGATAACACTGGTAGAGGGATTCTGTTTTTAAACTCACCACTAATTCCTGTTTTTTCCAACTTTTTGTTTTGTGCATTTTCCCACAATCTCCCACTTAACTGATGTAAAACTATGATAAATATTTACCACAGCTACTATCCCATCAAACGGAGCAATGATTAAATAAAAACATATTAATCTGTCAAATGCACTTTGAAGTTAAACCATCAGGGACCGCACCTCTGCCCCATCGCACACATGGGGGGAAAGTGAGAGTCCGTTTCCATGGCGACACAGTTGTTTTCCAAAATGGTGGGCGCGCCTGTGCTGTAGGTGGGTAAACATGAGGCGTTTGAGGTCTCCACCGGGGTAAGATCATCTCGTGACTACCTCCTCTGCTATTTAAAACGGATTACAAGTTTGGACCAGTTATCACGGTAGCCCTTATACTGTTTTGATGGGTATCCTACTGTTTCAGATGAACTTGAATGACTTGGGGAAAATACAGGTAATGTTATTTCAAAAGTGATTAAGAATAATAGATAAAGGAAACACAAAACACATTTCAATCATAAAAATCACTCAGTATGGTAATAAGACAAGGGTGCAAAAGTTTAAACCAAAAAATACCCTGACTCACCTAATATAGAATATTACAAAAACATCTAGAAAAGCTTGCAGATTGAATAAAGACTTTTGCATAGAGTTTGTAACATAAATGTGCACTGTGGAACTTTTTGGTGAGAGGTCCACTACCACTAGCATTACCACAAAGTTGGGTAATGAGTTTTGGCTAAGGACACAACCACAGAACTTGGTCCAAGTGTGAATTGATCCTACAACCTTGGGGTTTGATGCCTGATTCATCAGCCGGTTTCACTTCATGGAAACCATCTGACCTTTTTTATTTAACCAAACGCTGCTATTTGGTTGTGACATATGTAATGCGCCTTAACGGGGCTAACTGGTATATTAAGCTTTTCCCAAATCCCATAGGAAGAAGGGCAATAATGTCATGGCTTCACAGCTCTTCACTGATTGGCCGGAGCGTGGTCTACAACTTCTAGGGTTCTTGCAAACCGTCTGGTGTATTCTGATTCCTGACCTAGTCACTGGGGAGAAATGAAATTGAGAGGAGGCACTAGGTGGCGCCAGCCTGGCTAGGGGTTTGGGGACCACTGCTCTAATCACTGAGACGCTGCCATCCCATGGTATTGAATTTATTCAACTACAGTTGTTTTTATTTCTCAAAAATACCTTGATAAACACACATTATTTCTAGAATTGAGATCGCCTCTCCACAGATCTGACCAGTCACCTGTTTGCCTCCATGGAAATATGTATGTTTAATACCATACCAAGTGGCACATCCAGGTACCCCTTGGCATCTCCATGAAAACAAGCAGATGACGGACCCTCCACTGGAAAAAGTTACACAGTGCACCTTTATGATGTGCAATTTTTAAATATTTCACAGTTGCGTTTTAATGTTTTCTTAAGGTAGGCACTGTTTTACACACAAAACCAAATATTTAAATTTGAATTCCTGTGACATTTATTAATTTAAGTTCCAAAAATGATGTGATAACCCAATAAAAAGGTATTAAATAAAAACACATATTTTGGTCCCTTTCTTATCGGTACAGTACACCTGGTCGACCTGGAATGGTAACAGGAAATCAAAAATATTCAATGCTAAAACATGGCAAACATCGGTGACCTCACAGCTATTGGAAGACCCCAAAAAGCAATTTCCAGAGAGCTGATTAAAAAAAATGCATTATACAGTTTCATGCCATATAAAGTAATGTAAAAGAGCATAAGACATAAAAGTCTATAATCAGCTCATGTCAATAATAAGAACAATTCAGTCCCGTGGTACCTCCAGTCAGAAACGTGTCTGTAACCATTTTTGCAGCAGCTGTGCAAATATGCTACGTCAAGATAAGTTTCACAGGTATTCTTGTTTCAAAAGCAGAAACAATGTAAAAAACTAAAGTTCAGTTTCACAAAAATTCTGGATTTTTTTCCCCACTATTGTTTGTTGTTTTCAAAGTTATTCCAGGGTTTGGTTTGGGAGTCCCGTTTGACGAACTTCTTTTTGGGAATGGCGCTGAGGGAGAAAGGGAGACCGCCGCACATGGGGGTTTCCTTACGGGCCACGATGCAGTCTTTAATGCACTCTTTAATCACCTGCAAAAAGCAAAACAGAATGACTCAGTATAAATATGCATACAATATTTAAAATTTTCTACGGTATATAATGCACTGGTGTCACCATAACACTAAAATTCCAAGTTTATTTTGATACTAAGGAATAGGCTCTGTACTGATTTTGATACCACAATGATAAAAAAAAAAAAAACTTTAACAATTTTCCACACAAAATATTTCAGTTTTGATACCTAATTCGATACTATAGCTTTATATCTGTCGATACCTGATACCAGTGCAGAGATTGAAAACTGCATTTATTTCCTTTAAACAGAAATAAAATAAGACAAAATGGATGCAAATGTATTCAGACTGGTGCACCCCTAAAAATATTAGTATGTTACCATGTGGTCTTATTCTAGTTCCAGCTCAAGATCGTTCTAAAAACTAGGGATGTAACAATAACCGAAATATCGTGACGTCACATCGTCAGAGTTCTCACAGTAATATCGTGGACCATCACAATATATCGAATTACAAGTCTCTTTGTTTAAATGAAGAGTTATGGTGCAGCAATAGCTAAAACAAACAACAGAGTGAACTACATAGACCATGATCCTTTGCTCCATTTCAGTGTAGACTATATGAAGAAATAACAGTTTTAAGCATTTTTAAATCTTAATTCTTTGGATTAAGTCTTGTCTAAGCATTTTAACAGGAAAAAGTAGCATATTAACAGTTTTGCAAGCCTCCACAAAATATTGAAATAAATAACGTACCGTGAGATGTATATCGCAAAAATATTGTACAGAGAGATTTGGATATCGTTACATCCCTAATCGTGAGCCTCCCCACCGTATTGTGAGCTTTCCCACGATATCGCAATAAATATCGTACCGTGAGATTCATACCATGACGATATCGTATCGTGACACTTGGATATCGTTACACCCCTACTAAAAACGGTAAAGGAAAGGTCAAATTATGTCCTGTACAAGTGTTTTTTTTAAATAGTATTGATATTTTTGATCATGAATTTTCAACTACTTTTGGACACCATGTCTGGATGATGTATGGACTTTAAACCTTAAAGGAGACTTTCTGGATGACCACTTGGTGACATCATACTGTGGGATCAGGTATTTTGTGTTCTACAAAACTTCCTACTTTGTCTAGAGTTGTAAAACATTTTAACTTGTGTAGAATCACGTGGCAATATTGAAGAAACTACTAATGCATTATAGATTTTTAAAATTTGTATTAATTTAACTAGTACTATGTATGCAAGATGTTTTTCAGATTTACTGGTATAACTAATGTATTCACAATTACACCAATTTCACATGCTTTTTTGTGGGTTGGTTGTCAAGTCGATTCCCCAATCAGAGAAGAGCAAAGGCTTGGGTTGGGTTGGCAGATACTTAGAATATGTCAGCTAATTGTATGTCATGTTTTGTCATTATCTTGACTGTTTTAAAACCAGGTGAAGCACATGTTATAGCCATTACCTTATTTTTAGCCCAAGTGCCTTTGAGCTTGAACTGAACCTGTTATTTGGTATTTAAATACACTTTTTTCTTGGTAAATTACACTTTGGGTTATTTACTATTACCCAAGGAGGAAGCTCTGAATGTGATGAGGTCATCCCAGATTATACACTCTGCACCAACTTTCATCATTACTCAGTGGAAGTGACTCAGTGTGTTTAAGGTTACATTAACTCCTCACACAACTGACACACCTTCATCGTTTTTACTAACAGTACACGCTGGCAATTGGTTTTATTAAAATTTCTACTATTGCACAATTACAATAAAATTACGACTGTACAGAAGTCCCCCATCTGCAAATCTTATGAGTGAAATGATCAATAGTGATATGTAGTGCAGGTTACTAGGGCAACACAATACACTAAATTGAAATTACATTAAAAAAAAAAATCTTAAATGATCAAACTGCAGAGATTTGCAATTATTTATCTTCTAATATATTTAAAACTGATATTTAGAAAAGTATGCACAACACAAAATATCTTGTTTACAGCTGTTTAGTTAATGAAATTTAAACCAAATTGAAATCCAGCTCTTCTCGTGGATAATTTTTGTACTAAATTTCTTGCAATGCTAACTGTAGGCACTGCTCTGTCTGCAGCTCTGTCACTCAAGTTAGTTTAGAGTTTTATTTTAACACAATCTGATCAGAAAGAGTTGACTTGGTTGGAGTTATCACATGTACGCTGATTTGAGCTGTTAAACAAGCCTCTCACAAATAAAATGACATTCACAAGATGGTTTTTCAGTTAGTCACTCTCACCTTTTTTTCCGCTTGTATTGATCACAGATAAACTGCACTAAACAAATAAACTTGCCTTGCCCATGGAGTGAATGAATAATGACCACAGTGTACTTTACAGGTGTTTTGCAAGTGCAAGGTAGACTGTTATTATAATGTCAGTAGTTAAATGCTGTGTTTTCATGGCAATTTATTTATGGTGATTCCTGTATTAGTTTAGTGGAATTCTGCAGAATCACACGAGTGGATTTCTGATCCATATTATAATGCTGTTTCATCATCACAAACAGACCTGGAGTTGTGTTTTGTTTCATTCACACATGTTTAACACACAAACCCTGCAGATTTATGCAGAGTTCTTCTAGAGTTCTTCTCTCAAACTGAAAACACTGTTCCACCTTGTGATGTCATGTGGTGTCATGTGTTTTTAAACTCCATACACCTTCACTAGAATCATTTGGATCATTTCAGCTATGGAATTTCGAATCTCTTCTGAACGTAAAGGTAGATGTTAACTGGGAAACTACAACTTCATGACATCACAAGGTGGAACAGAACATTATGGGTTTTGGAGATGTGGACAGACTAATAATAAAGGATTACTTACACATATGTGAATGAGAGCTTTGCTATGCTTTACTTTCACAAAGCTCTTGCTTTACTGGTCAATCTCCGTTCCTCCCCTCACCTATGGTCATGAGCTTTGGGTAATGACCAAAAGGACAAGATTAGAGATAGGGTGAGGAGCTCAGTCACACGAGAGGAGCTTGGAGGAGAGCCGCTGCTCCTCCATGTCAAGAGGAGCCAGTTGAGGTGGCTCGGGCATCTGTTCTGGATGCTTCCTGGGAGCCTCAAGGCCCCGAGGAAGACCCAGAACATGCTGGAGGGACTATGTCTCTCTGGCCTGGGAACACCTTGGGGTTCCCCCAGAGGAACTGGAGGAAATGTCCGGGGTGAAGGAAGTCTGGGAGTCCCTGCTTTGACAGCTGTCCCCGTGACCCGGTCCCGCATAAGCAGAAGAAAATGGATGGATGGATGGATGAATGTGTAAATGAAACAAAACACAATTCCAGGTATGTTTTTCACAACATTCTAACATGGCTTAACGCTCATAAGAGTCAATGTTGCGTAACATTTGACCTGTGTTCTGACTCCTGCTTTGAAAACATTGTAATTATTGTTGTTGTATTTGTCTGTAAACGTTACCTCCAGGTTGTTGAGGGTGTTGAACTCCATGAGATCGTGCAGTTGGGTAAAGGCCTTGTTGTTGTACTGGAAGTTAAAAGTGGAAAATGGCGTCTCTGGATCGTCAAAGATGTCAAAATCTGCAGCTTCCTTCTCCTTCTCCGTCTCTCTGGGAACACCTACAAATACATACAAAAGTCAGTCTCTAGCAATAAAGGTTCATGTGACAATTGCTGGGTTTCAGATGACAACACTGCATTCTATAGGGCAGTATTATTCAATAAAGAAGAAGGGCAGCTCGAGATGGGACAAGATCTCGCGCCACAAGATCTCGGGGGACAAAACTGAGGGTAAAATTGGGAACTGATTTGCACTATGTATTTCTTGTAGCCTAAATAACATAAAAATCTTGTCTCCATACACCTTCAATAGGATAATTTCAGCCCTGGAATTGCCAGTTAAAGGCTGAAGTATAGTTCTGTGTCGACTCAACGCACACTGCCGCCATCGCCTTAGTAAGTAATTCACCGCCACAACACTAGGCTAGGCTAGGATATATGTCCATTCATATATACATGACCTGCAGACGTATAATCTCTGAAAAGTTTAACATGAACCATCCCCAACATGATAGAAGCACAGAACAGACTAACTATTAGCAGATCCCTCTGTCACAGAACGAACACTCATATTCCACTGAGTCATGTCCTTTTTAAGTCCAACAGAAACTGACCGCGCCAGCAGCACAAGAAGCGAGCTGTTTTCAGCACTTACAGTTTAAGCAAATTAGCCATGTGGTTTTAAGTTTCGTTTCTGTAAAATGTAAACAATGTGCAAAGCTGCATTAAACACATTATTACTCAATGTATATTGAAAAAAGGAAAGCGGAGCACAGGAAATGTACGTAGAATGGTGGTAGAGAGGATCAATCACAGCCCTTATTATCTGCATTGCTTCTGCTGCTGCCTGCATCATTTCAACGTGTACTTAGAAATTTTGGAGATGCACACCGGTCGATGCAGATGTGTAGGGGGTTCATGTTGACGCAGACTCTCTCCATTGTGACGCAGACGATTTGACGCTGGACCGTGAATTGGGCTTAATACTGAACTACGGTTAAAGTTAACACAAAAACTTCTGCTTCATGACATCACAAGGTGGAACAGAGCATTTTGAGCTTTGGAGATGTACACAGACTAATAATAAAAGACTACTCAAGCATGTGTGCATGAAACAAAACACAACTCCTGGTATGTCTGTGATGAGGTAACAGTCAAGTTTGTGTAACATAGGATCTTTAACATGGACTATTCAGGCTGAGTCCATCCACTGTCCATTACCTCCTACAGACATTTGAAAAACAGGTCATCATTACTGTACAAAGAGAGAGGAAAGAAGTCATGTGGAAAATGCATGTGTCTAATTACAAACAGGAACACCATATATGGGCTTCATCTGGGGTGCTTTGCTTATGTAACTCAGGATATATGTGGAACGTAAAGCAAAGAGGAGTTTTGACCGGTGATGCACGGTCTGTTTACTCAAAAAACGTCAACACAACCCCTGCTTTTCCTCCTCTCTCCTTGTGGGGCTCTAATTCTCCCAGGCAGCCCATAAAATGCTGTTAACCATGAAGGTATGCTATAGCTCATTACTAGTGACCACACCATAGCCGAAGCATGTTATATTGGGGTCACGTAACAGAGGGGCCCACCGGTTAGAGACACAAGCCCCCAAAAATGTCTGTGTCAGTTTCCAGGAAGTAATGTGTTACGTTGCCATAATGGTAAAGGGGGAAATATAGGTTGTGTTCTCAAATGATTTTAGATGGAAAGCAGTGTAGTGTCTGTGTAACTCTATTGGAGATATGCTGTTTTTTCCCCAAATCTTAGCATTACGAGTCCGTGTATCATTCGATCATTTTCTTCATTATTTGTCTCCAAAACCAAAATGAAAAAAACAGATAACAAATCATTTTTTCAGTTTTTGATTTTGTGTTTAAATGAATAACGGAAAAAACGGATAACGGACATTTCCCATTTATGTGACTTGACAGAACCAGGACTAAACCAGGACTAAACCAGGTCTAAACCAAGTCTAACCAGGTCTAAACCAAGTCTAAACCAGGTCTAAACCAGGACTGAACCAGGTGTTCGGTGTGGGGACGGGCCCGGAGGTGCACCCGCGTAGACTGTCGGGTGATCAGGAGTGACACCAGGACTGAGACCTGCACTGAGATTGGCACTGGACCAGGACCAGACCAGGACTGAGACCGAGACCAGATCGGGACTGAGACCATGACTGAGACCAGGACTGAGACCGGGAGCAAACTAGGACTGAGACCGCAACTGAGACCAGCACTAAGACCAGGACTGAGACTGGTTTAGTCCCGGTTTAGTCCTCGTTAAGACCTGGTTAAGACCTGGTTTAGTCCTGTTTTAGTCTTGTTTTAGCCCTGGTTCAGTCCTGGGATCAGTCCTGGTTCAGTTCTGCTTCAGTCCAGCATCACAGTTTGAGTGACGGAAATGGGTAACGGCTGTTTATTCGTTTTTTCCATTTTTAATTTAAACACAAAATCAAAAACTGTAAAAACAAATTGTTATCTGTTTTTTTTTCATTTTGGTTTTGGAGACAAATAATGAAGAAAATTGTTGTTTTTTTGTTTTCTTATTTTTGGTTTTATTTTGAAAAACTAATGAACGAATGAATGAATCATGGATTATTATGATGCACAAAGCTTAGCATTATTTGTTAAGGCTAGGTTCCACAAACTTGTTTTATTAATCTTATGGGTTAAAGTACTTTCAACTGACATTTTCACATTTTAAGGGTTGCTCAAACAGTGAGAGGTAAAAGACAACATTCATACCATACTTCATTCAACTCCACAACAACTCACCTCTATGTCTTGACAATCATCATATCATCATTGCACTGTTTTCCTTACAACCTCTTGTATATTGCTGAGATATTTTTATAACTTGTTTCTATTTTATTTTATATTTACTTGCCTTATTTGACACCAGTCTCTTGCTATTTTATATTACTGATGTGCAAGCTACTGTGTCCAAATAATTTCCCTTGTGGATCAATAAAGTTTGTCTAAGTCTAAGAATAATGGCAACACTTTCTGCAGCTATTGTGAGATAATAATTTTATATCAGAGAAGATGCTGAACTTAGTGCAAGTTTTTGTTTCATGTGGAAAGGCCCAGTAATTACACAGATAGGAACCATAAAGCAGGTCACCAAATCTACAATTAAACAGCAAATTCCCAGACTCCCAGAGGTGTTGCAAGAGCTAGTTTTCAGCTTCTTGTTTATGGGCAACATTTTGAGGACTTCTGAGCATGTTTAATACTTTGTTTTGAATTCTTAACTGCTATGGCAACTGTGTGCACATCTATGATGTTAAAATTAATTACTTGATTACACGGTATTCTCAGGAAAAACACTGAAAACCCACAAAATCCACAAATGTTGCACCAGATAATTTCTTTTAGTGACTAGACCCTAAAACTCACTGTATTACAACTAGAAAATGTATTTAAACATTATTTATTCTAGTCTATTCTGTATTAAATGGTCACAATATAAGTTTTAGGTTCTTTTTTCCTTTCCTTCATTGTTGTTTTGACGGAATTTTCCACAAAATGACATAAAGTTTATCAAACTCCATGGAGACATGCAGCTGACTCAACAAACAAAACAAAAAGTATTTTGACAATAAAACCTGTAATTGCATGAATGAAAAGTAGTCAAGTTTATATCATACTGTGGAACATTCCAGGTAATATAACAACATTTTTATGAAACAAACAGATGACTGACCCTCCACCAGAAAACTTACATACTGCACGTTTAATTAATGTTTGCCTTATTATTGCTGCCATATTAGGTCTAGTTGGTATTATAAACAAAACTCCAAAGGAAACACGCAGTAACTGACAAAATAACCAGTATTATGTAAATCAGTTTTTAGGTGATTTTGAGCTTCCAGTTTTTAGATTAATAACATTTCTGTCATTGAAAAGTCACAAAAAAGTCTTCAGATAGAGCTAGTGATAACAAAATTTGAAGCACAATATCTTGCAAGAGAGAAATACTGTGATAAATTATAATAATAAAATTACTATATGCTGGTAGGTCAATAGCAAAAAGTCAGTAGGGCTGTGGTCAACTGAAGAAATTCTTGGTTGACTAAAAACATGTCAAAAACATGTCTCAAAACAATTACGTTCTCTATGACCCAAACTGCACTGACAAGACTACACCTGCACGTGAGTTCATGCAAAAACAACTATTTATGCAGAAATAATATTAAGAAACAATGAAACAGATTAAGTTTGAACTAAGAATTAAGACTTGCGCACTAACTTCTTCTTTCTGCGGTGTATAAATAACATGATTAGTCGACTAATCAATTGATCAACTGACTAAACAACTAAAGCCCTAAAAGCAAGATAATGCGAGTAAACTTTTTTTAAATTCAGTATCGTTAAAAGTGCACTATGCAAATTTTCAGTTTTTTTTTTTTTTAATGTTTCACAGTATGGCATTAAACCTTTCTCTCTTCTTTCTACCAAACCAGACCAAGTTACAGGTCAGATCTGTGGAGAGTTGACCCTGCTCACAGTCAGAATGCTTTTTCTAGGCATTCTTGAGCTATAAAACCACCTGTGATTGAATAACAGTAAGTAGAGCTGTTTAATTTTATATTGTGGTACATTTTAGGCAGAGCAATGACATGCAAAAAGTTACGTAATGCACCTATGAACTGCAAAAAATAAATAGCAGAATGAATCAATAATTAACCATAGAAGTTACTTATTCAATCCTGTAAAGCACAAAAATTATATTACAAACAAAATAATAAAAATCTCACCACTGTTGTTAGATAATATGCACATTATCTATTAACAGTTATCATCTACTGAACAAATCGTTGTTGTAAGTCTCAAGTTTTTGACCTGAAGTCCAAGTCAAGTACCAAGTCGAGTCTCAAGGCACTGGCCCATAAATCCAAGTCAAGTCCAAGTCGTCTGCTTTGAGCTTCAAGTCATTTCAAGTCTTAAAATCTAAGTACCAAATATAGCTTACATTTTTGCAATTTATATGAATTTTTAACTAAATTGTATTTAGTATGTCACAATATATCGAATCACAAGTTCCTTTGCTTAAATGCATGGTTTTATAGTAGCAACATCTTTTAAACACAGGGAACTACATATCCCATCCCATTCATTTCAGTGGAACTTCAAGAAATATGTTTTTTACTTGAATTCTTGGGATTATGAAGGAAATAATTCACACCAAAGTCTTGTCAGGGTATTTTAAAAGCAAAAAAGTGTCCTATATACAATTATATCAGCCTCTCCAAAATATCGCAACAAATATCGTACCGTGAGATACATATTGTGATAATATCATACGGAGAGATTTGGATATCGTTACATCGTTAATTACAAGAGTAATTATCGAAACTAGTCAAGCCAAATGCCCCAGTATGCTGCTGCCTTGCCTGACTTTAAATGACAAATACCCTTAAAATGTTGTGACGTCATCTGACACCCAGTAATTGTAGTTTCGTGGCATAGTTTCCATAGTTATGTGTGCGTAGGCAGTTACCAGGCGCCTTGAACTTCCTGAAGTTGATGTTGACGAGGACAAAGTGGATCACGGTGGGGCAGTTCTTCTCTCCTTTTCGTGGTTTGAAGATGTAACATTCTTTGAGCCCCTCACGGTCAAACACTTTGGGGTCTATCTTTGGGAAGGGAAGTCTGTTCATCCGGGCCCATTTTTCCGCCAGTAAAAGCTCCTGAAAAATATACCTATGTTTCTTTAAAGGTTCCATGTTACACAAAATTTTATCTTTTGAGCTTTAAGCCATGTTATAAAGGTGTTACCTCATCATAAATATATCTGAAGTTGTTTTTTGTTTCATTCACACATGTTTGAGTAACACCTTATTATTAAAGTCTACACCTCTAAAACTCAAAATGCTCAACTCCACCTTGTGATGTTGTCAAGCGGAAGTTTTTGTGTTAACAGCTACCTTTAACCTTTAATTCAGTAGAGATTGGAAATTCCAAGACTGAAATTAACCAAATAATTTTAGTGAAGGTGTATGGAGTTTGAAAACACAGTGGAGCACACTTATGTATTACCACATGATATCACAAGGTGGAACAGAGTGTTTTCTGGTTGAGAGAAAAACTTAAACCTGCCAGTTAAGTGTGTTAAACATGTGTGAATGAAACAAAACACAACTCTCAACATTATACCATAGAACAGGAAAAAAAATGTAAAATTGGCCCTTTAATAATCTTTAGAAAACTATGAGACATTATTGTTTTTATTTAGTTTAGTTGAAATAAGACAATAAATATCATTTTAATACCCTAATCTGAGATTCTAAAACTATTACCAACTTATTTAAGGGTATTATTTATTCCACTTGTCCCAGTGTAGTCCTGGTTTGAGCCCAGTTTAGTCCTGATGTAGATCTGGTTTAGCCGTTTTCTAGTCCTGCTTTTGTCACAGTCTTGTCTAAGTTCTGTGTTTTATCTAAATTTAAAACAAATTTTGAAAAAGAAGTTGTTTTTTTTCCAAAGTTTTTTATTTATTTATTTCAATAATTAGATATCTTTACTATAAGAGGTCATGTTTTATCTTCACCTATTGGCTCTGTGAACAGCGGCTCACATTAATCAGCACGACTTAAGCTCCATGTTATTCCCCAGTTTGAGTCAGAGCCGAATTTGCGTCAGTCGTACTGGTTTGATTTGAGTTGTGTTATTGCCATAGCAACTGAAGACCACTGATGCCAAATCTTTCAAATCAAGAGAAACCCCTAAGCTTGAAAACCGCAATGCATAATTAAAGATCGAGCACTAGACAGCAAGTTGGTGGATATCATAGCACAGATTTTTGGCTTTCAGTATTAATTTCCTGAACATACACAAAACAGACTTTTAATCATTGCCATTTAACAAAAAAAAATATCTCCTTTCAAAGTCTGAGCTCCAAACCAAAGACTTTTACTGACAGACCTCTCTGTAGTGTAGACCTCTCAGTTTAAAAGACCCAAGCTGATCATTGAAAAGCAGAAATGACTGAATCTCAAACTTAATCAAAATCATATTAACTGCGCAGGCCTTTCCTACCGTAACATACTTTATATAATGGTAATGAATAGGACTTGACACTGACTTTAAATGGGGGGCTGGAGTCACTGGGTCTTGCGGAGAAGTCAAACGAAATGATGAGGTCCACTGTGCGCTGTGGTCTGAGGATGAGGGGGTACGGGAGGTTATAGGTCAATCCACTGTCCACCACATGGATCTTCTTACTCTTCACATCCAGAGGCTCATTAATGCGATCGAACTCGTCTGGGTCTGAAAACAAAACAAAAGTGCAGTGAAGAGCGTTAAGATGAGAAGTGATTAGCAGTCAAATTCATTTTATTTAGGGTCTTAAGAGTTAAAAGATCCATATTACGCTATTCTCTGATCTATGTTTTACATTTCCTCATCAAAAATCACGCATGTTTAACAGACAAATCCTGCATATTTAAGATGACGCTCCAACTTGCGATGTCATGAGGTAATATAGGAAGTGCTCCAATGTGTTTTGAAACTTCATACACCTTCACTAGAATCATTTGGATAAGGTAAAAGGTATCTGTTTACTTGAAAACTACCACTACATTTTGAGCTTTGGAGAAAAACTATTAATGCAGGATTACTCAAACATGTGTGAATGAATCAAAATAAAACTCCAGGTATTTTTTGATGAGGTAACAACATTATCACATCGATTAAAGTTCACAAGAGTCAATTTTGCATAATATAGGGCCTTATTGTTCACCTGTGACAGCGTCTACTTCATCCTCAGGTGTGGGGGCCTCACAGGTGTACTGCAGATTATACGGGATGCTGGGGGTCAGGTTAAGCCCCAACATGAAGTTATGAACCTGGACAGAGAGACAGGTCAGTCAAGAAGCTGTTACTCAAAAAATACACTTTTTCTTGCACATTTTGTTTGATTACAATATTCTATTTCACTTTTGTGCTTTTAAAAACAAGTTAAAATGGATGTCAATAATAATTTCCATAGGTAAAAGAGACTTAAAAGACAAGGTCAAAATACTCAATTTCTTAGTCTAAACTTCATGATTTCACTGCTACTATATCACTGACAATTAAGAGTGAGAAATGACTGAATCTTCATCTTAATTAAAATTGGATTAATTGCATGCATACACTTTAAATTACTTTTTAAAATTTCAACAGTAGGATAGTTTTTGTATGTTTATGTTTATGTTTACGTAAAATCTGTACATTTTACCTCTCACTTTTGGTTCTGTCTTTCTTTAAATGTGGTTGTTTTTACAGATATGTAATTGTTCTACTTGGAATGTTCCACAGTATGACATAAACACCTCTACTTTATATTTATTTAATTACCAGTGGATTTATAGCTCAAAAATACCTACAAAAAAAAAAACATTCTGAGTGTTAGCAGGGTCGCCTCTCCACAGATCTGACCTGTAACCTGGTCTGGTTTGGTCTCCATGAAGATACAAAGGTTTAATGCCATACTGTGAAATATTCCAGAAAAAAAGCATTTTTTTCCCACCAGAAGAGTTACACATTGCACCTGTGAAACTGTGAAATTCTAATAAATCTTTAAATGACCAGTCTTGTTTGTCCTTACCTTCCCCGCTCGTCCCTCTCTCGTGTTAAATAGAGAAGAGTCACTGACGAAAGAAGTGAACATTCTCTGGACCCAGCTGGCCTGAGCCGTGCGGTGGTACTCCTCCTCTGCCTCTGGGTTTTCTGATCCCGCTGCTGTAAGAACATGTTTACAGAGAATTTAACTTTTTACTAAAGGTCCTATATTGCACTAAATGGATTCTTGTGAGCTTTAAGTCATATTAGAATGTTGTTACCTCCTCAAACATCTCCAGAGTTGTGTTTTGTTTCATTCACACATGTTTAAGTAATCTTTTATTATTATTATTTTATTATTATTAGACTGTCTTGATCTCATGTAGTGGTAGTTTTCATGTTAGGAGCTACCTTTTATCTTTTGTTTAGTAGAGATGGACAGTTCCAGAGCTGAAATGATCCAAATGATTCTAGTGAAGGTGTGTGGAGTTTAAAACACAGTGGAACACTTCCTGTATCACCACATTACACAGCACAAGGTGGAACAGAGTGGTTTCTGTTTGAGAGAAAAGCTCAGCCTAAATATACATTGTTTGTGTGTTAAACATGTGTGAATGAAACAAAACACAACTCCAGGTATGTTTTTGATGAGAAAACAACATTGCAATATAGATCACAAAACAGAGGAATATAGGCCTTTTAACAATGAATGAAATATGCATGTGATTTAGGTTCACACTAAAAAGATTTTAAGGTTTTATACACTGAGATTACATTGGAATATACTGTATGTTTGAAAAGTAGAATTCTGTAAGGTGTGCACACTGGACGCAATTCCAGGACCAATTCCATTTTTACAGGCCATATACTAGTAAATGTACTTAGTGTCAGAATTCCTGGATATATGAAAGAGGGTACAAGAAAAGTATATAAAAGTATATTCAAAAAAACTTCCACAAACACATTTCAAATACACCTGTTGTTCCTGGAAGATGTGGGGAGAGTGAGGGGCAGAGTCTGGACATAAGAGGAACAATGCGTTGGTCAAACAGGTATCCACACTTCAAACTCCACCCCTGGAGCCTAGTGTGTTTGTAAACAGAAACACCTGGCTGTAACCAGGGCAGTCTTTTGTGATGTCACCAACTACTGGACAATGCAGAGGCCAATGAAGGCAACCCACACAGATTTAGACATTTTTGACCACACCAAATTGATCTAGCTTGCAATAAAGTTGGCCCAAGGACTAGGACCAGTCGCTTAAATGCTGACAAAAACATAGATTTAGTCTTTAGATACGCTTCAAATAATTCTGAAAGTGCAATAAGTAATTATTTACAGTGTGTCTTATATATTAGTCCTGAACTTACAACACATGCTTTTTGATGAATAAGTCCATATTTACCTTACTCTCTATGTATTTTATTGCATCACAGTGGAAACTATTTTTTGCAGCTATAAGTTACTGAAATGGTATTTGGACCAGTTAATCCACATTCTAGTGCCGGTATCTTTAAATGCAGACAGGATCTCACCTTTCCGTGGCTCATCGTCATTGTCCAGACTGTCCTCTCCCACAATGTGCTGAGGTTTGATCTGCTCTGTAACACAATCACAGGGTCACACATCACAAAGGCTGCCATTACGTCTTTCTATAATGCCTATTGATACTTTGCAGTGATATCATGCTGGGGGTGCTCCATATGTATGTCTATGGCAGAATGTTTGTAATGTTACCATGGTGATAGAATGCACACAACAGTAAATACAGCCAAAAGAGATTTACAGGTGCACTGTGTAACTTTTCAGGCGGAGTGTGCACCACCTGCTTGTCTTCATAGTAAGTATAGCATTGCCTGAATGTTCCACAACATTCAACTTTTCTAGCTCCATCAAGACAAAAATGCCACATGCCAAATTATGGATTAGATCTGTGAAGAGGCAAGCCCACCCTTTTTCAATGTATTTTTGAGCAATAAAAACACATGTAACAGAGTAAATATACAGTAATAACATGCAGTGGTGTAACCTCAACCAGAAAAGCTGCACAGTGCACAGAATATTGTAGAATTTTTTGCTGTTGTTTTTGCTGTCAGATTGCACATTTGTTGACATGGTTTATGGTTCATATCTCTGTAATTACTGGGCCTACTCACATGAAACAAAAACTGTCACAAAGTTGTTCTCTTGTCTTCTCTGTCAGTATAAATAAACACACATGCTTTACAACTATTACTTCAGAAAGAGGTGCCATAATTCAAAGGTTGTTGCTGGTTGAAAAGACTTTAAGCCGTAAGATTAATATTATGGCAACTTTATGAAACCAAACCCTAAGAGATAATGCTATGGAAAAAATCACTGCTTGCAACCATACCAACTAGCTTTCCATAGGAGGGGCCGTCTCCATGGTAACAGGGCATTTTGTTGTGATGACGTTTACAGTGAAGTACCATGAAGGGGCAAGCAGAAATCAGTGGTGCCAATTTTAATATGACGTGAGTTTTGCTTGAGTTTCTTGCTCCCAGATATCACAATACAATCTGTGTGCATCCCACAAACGAAACTACTGCACATTGAATCAGGTTTGTGAAGTTGTAGTGCATTGTTTTGCATCCTGTTTTTGTATATCTATGGAAAATTGTCGCGTGGGAGCATGGGTGACGTCAGACTTGTGGGCTGAGCATTGGATAGAATCTTGAATGCTTACCATAAGGAGGGCGGGAGAGATCACGAGATTACATAAACATGCATTGGTGACACCTAAAACCTCTTCAGGCATGTTTTTTGATGAGAGACCTTTCTAACACGGTTAACGTTAAAGTTAATTTTGCTTAATACTGAAAATGTCCATATTATTAGGGGTGTACAAAAATATTGAATCGATTTGGAATATACTGTATTGAATCATATTGAATCATGAACTCACTGTACTGAGATATGTATTGTATCGCAGCCTCTGTATCGTATTATCAACTTCTGAATGATAAATTGTTATTATGTCTTTTCCTCATCATAAACACACCTGGAGTTGTTTTCAGTTTGAACCTCAAACTGAAAACACTCTGTTGCACCTTGTGATGTCATGTGGAAAGAAATGCTCCACTGTGTGGACATTTTTTTAAATAGTTATATTTATTCATTTAAAAAGACATTCATGAAAATCATTTGGATAGGTTCAGCCTTGGAACTGCCACTCTTTCCTGGACAAAAGGTAAAAGGTCGTTGTTGAAAACCTTGAAAACTACCTCTTCATGACATCACAAGGTAAAACAGACCACTCTCTGAAATTGAGATGTCGACAATTGACTAAAAATGCAGAATTACTCAAATATGTGTGAATAGAATGAAACACAACTCCAGGTATTTTTTTGATTGTAGTGTAACAGTATAGCATGGCTTAAAGCTTCAAGAGTCAGTTTTGTGTAACATAGGATCTATAAATCCGCATTAGATTACCTTGCATTACTACCAAACTTTGTCACAAACATTACAAGTTCTTAACCAAACTTTGCTAAAGCACATTGTTAGTGTCAAAATAAGAAACACAACACGCAGGATGTATTCAAGCACAAGGACGATGTATTCTTAGCACCTTTGTAACTAACTGAGCTTGTTTCAATGGAAAAAGGTCATCCGAACAAAAGCACTGAACCATCACAAGCATCTGATGAGCTGTGAGACTATCCTTTTTCACACAGAGTTAAATCTCAGTTTAGCCGGGTTATTTTTAAACATAAACACTAGTGACAAAACCCTCACACAAAGAATACATAACAATAAGGGAATATATCGGATGTGTGCAGAGGGTGGAGTCTAGAGGGATTTTGTCAATGAGGGAAACTCTACTGTTACACATAGCAACCAAACAACAAATATTTGAGCAGTGATTTGAAGAAAAAAAATGTGTTTTATTTTTAAATTAAACACAAAAGCTGCAAGATATCAATTACCTGTGTTGTAGTTACTGTCACTTCATGAAAATGTAACAGTATTTACAGTGAAAATGTGTTGGCGGTGCTTTTACGTCTTACATTAAGTCGAGGTATTAGGAAAAACATTGTCACCTCAGTGTCATGGGGAGTTTGTTTAAATAGAACTTTGTCTATGGTAAAAAATGCAAAGTGTGTACCATTAAAAAGGGAACAGAAACGTCAATATAAATACATGCACAAATGTTTTCGGATATGGCTCTTTGAGGAAACTAAAAATTAGCAACTTAAAATTTTGATGTCTCAGTATTGTGCAAATAAACAGTATATGTACTGTTGTCATGGCATGGCATGGCAAATATAAAAATAATGCATAATCTTATTAAAATACAACTATATATTGTATTCAGTGTAAGTCAAATACACATAAAATAATAACGGTAACATAACACAGTACAATAGAAAAAAAAAAGAAAATAGATTCAACTAGGTATAGCTTGTAATTTATTTTTCTATATGTAAATATTTGTAAAGTTTTGTGATCAATGTACATAAGCAACCACATAATTTTTGAAACTATGTACCATATTTTTCAGACTATAAGTCACACTTTTTTTCATGGTTTAGGTGGTCCTGCAACTTATACTCGGGTGCAACTTATAGTCCGAAAAATGATATAGGTAATGAATATGGGTGAGTTATAAGTTTTTCTTCTTCCCACTCCTTTTCGAGAAGCATGCTTTTCTGCAGTTTACTATATATATATATATATATATATGTATTATTGTTTCTCTCTTGGCACAAACTCGAAATGACAACAAATCAATCTAAGATACGTTCGACTTCAATCAAGTCAAACTTGATTGAAGTTTGACTTGATTGAAGGCACTGTACCTGATTTTTACTGTCTTAAAAACATGAAAAACGAAGCTAGCTAAATTTTTTACAGTTTGCAGTGGTCCAAAGTTATTCTTCAGTTGCCTTATGCATTCAGAGCATTATTCATCATAGTGAGTTTATAAATGCTTTTCATAACTCTCAGTCAGAAAGCAGAGCAGTTCTGCTCTGATGGTAAAACTACAAAATACAAATTCAAAGCTTTCTAATTAGATGCAGGCCCCACACAGCAGACTTATTTTGACCTCAAGAGCTGATTATACAGTATATCTGTACTGCGGCAAGACAAATTTTGCTTAAATACATGGAAAATATCTGGTACACGTCTCTTAATAATTCAAATGTCCCAAACTTTGCACAAGCCTTACCGAGCTCTTCCTCCATGGTGCTGCCCCCGATGGTATCCTTGACTCCTATCACGCGGTTAAACAGGATGGAGAAGGCGCTGCCCCACACGCCTGTTGTCATGACAACACACAGTCACACCGGAGGTACACAAGCACAGGCATCGTGACCTTAAACTGTTGTACATAAAAACAAGTTTCTCACCCATCAGAAAGTGCAGAGGGTTCTCCTTATATTTCTTCACAACAGTTCCCATGAAAAACTTGCTCCCAAACAGATCCGGGGTCATGAACGTACCGTACTTGGCCATCCCGATTTCATAAGGGCTGAACTCCACCCAGTCTGCAGAGAGGACAGGTGCAGCATGCATTTACAGGTATATAAGAGTAAGACAAACTAAATAAATAGACACTCAATCATCTCTAAGGTTAAAGGTGCACTATGTAACTTTTTGGTTGATGGTCCGTTACCTGCTTATTTCTACGAATATGTCATTGCTCTGCCTGGAATCTTCTACAGTATAACATTAAACCATTCTACCTCACATTTATTAAATTATATGTGGTTTTAAAATACCTACAAAAACAGGCATTCTGTGAGCAGGGTTGCCTCTCCACAGATCTGACTTGTAACTTGGTCTAGTTTGGTCTCCATGAAGATAGAAAGGTTTAATGCCATACTGTGAAACATTCCAAACAAACCAATAACATCTCCACAGAGAAAAACATTTGATGGACCCTCCACCAGAAAGGTTACACACCTTTAGACACACACCTCTATAAGGTACACATTGAACAATTTGTCCTCTGCATTTGGCCTATCCTTCGATGTTGCTGGGGACACCTGTCAGGAAGGGCACTATAGTGGTGCACTCAGGGATCCATCTCCAGATCTTGAGCTAGTCTTGGTCAGGACAGGCCAGGTTGGCGCAACCTTGTACCTCCGGTCAATTTCATTTCTCTCCAGCAACTAGGTCAGGAATCAGAATAGACTAGACGGTTTGCAAGAACCCCAGAAGTTGTAAGCTGTGCACCAGCCAATCAGCGAAGAGCTGTGAAGCCATGGCGTCAAACGCAAGCTCCTGTCTGGGTCCCTTTTGTGGTACAGCACAACAGTAAACAAAGCGGTTGAGATGGATGTAGACGAAGCCAGACATTCTGTGTTGGCAATGATTCCTGAGATCGAGGATTTAAAGCCAGAACAAAGAGAATGTTTGGTGAATTTTATCAAGGGGAAAGATGTTATTGCACTTCTTCCTATGGGATTTGGCGCATTACATACATCACGACCAAATAGCAGGGACTGGTTAAATAAAAGAAGTACCTGCCTACCGTCGAGGTAACGAATCCTAAGGCTGCAAGGTCAGACCATTTCCACGAAGTGAAACCGGCTGATGAATCAGGCTAGATTAGGACTGTGGTGCATGTTTTGGGTTGATGGGAGTAAAAGGAAGGAAACCCACCCAGACACGGGGAAAAACATGCAAACTCCACACAGAAAGGCCAGGGTGACCAGGGAATAGAACCTGTAAGCTTCTTTCTGTGAGGCTTTCATGTTAGCCACTAATGTACTTCATCTGATCTAGGGATTATTGAGATGGCCCAAGTCCAAAATGTCCCTGTGCACAGCTGTCTCATCACTATCTCTGCTCCTCTCTGTATCTATACAGACATAACTCTGTGACGCCTGCCCTGATTAGCCAGGACTCAAACAACATGTGGAGTGTGCTTTAAAACAACTTTTCATTTCAACTGTTAAATTAACTCTTTAACCCTACTCGCACAGGATTCGTTTTACATAGGGTCCCCTGGTAGATTGTAATAATTACGAACATCCTCTGCGTTTTTAGTCCTGTGCGAATCATCCGTGTCTGTAAAAACGTCAGTAAAAATTCCGCAGATTTTTACCTCCTGAAATTCTGCAAACTCAGAGATCCTCGGGTAATTCTAGTCCCGTGTGAACACTCATGTCTGTAAACTGCTATGTTTTTCATGTGTGCATTGAAGCTAATAATGACTGAAAACATTTCTACAGCCCATTTTAGGTCTAAATACAAACTAAACAGCAATATTTATTCTCCATATACTATAATCTAATCCAGTTATTGTTTATTTCTGAAGGTGGCAAATCATCTAAGTAGACGTTTTATTTCACACTTGTCTTTGTAATAGAGTAAATTGTTTTCCACGTTTTTGTGCACATTTTCAGTACTCTTTCCACCATTTATTATAATTATAGTTCTGTTATTAAGAATATGAAATTTACTGCCCAAAATAATAACGGAAATAGAAATAGCAGCACAGACCTGTTGTCTGTTAAAGCTGTCTTAGTGCATATGTATACAGACCCTTAGGCACAAAGAGTTAAGAGGTCCATTCACACATTCACACAGACACTTAAACTTAAAATGCACATCAACAATAACAACTCAAGTGCTTCCAAGAAATCTGTCAGGAATTCTGCCTTTAAGCTAAGAGACATTTAACTGTGGGGTCGAAAACAAAACAACGCGTTTCTGTGGCATTTTTGCATAAAGGTGAATTGTGTAACTTTTCTGGTGGAAGATACGTCAAATACTTCTCTGTGGGGATGTTACTGGTTTGTCTGGAATGTCTCACAGTATGGCATTAAACCTTTCTATCTTCATGGAGACCAAACCAGAGGTACAGGTCAGATCTGTACCTCACAGTTAGAATGCCTGTTTTGTATTTTAGAGCTACAAAACCACTTGTAATTTAATGAATGTAAGGTAGAGCAGTTTAATGCCATACTGTGGAACATTCCAGGCAGAGCAATGACAAAGAAACAAGCAGGTGATGGACCCCCAACCAAAAAGTTACACAGTGCACCTTATTTACTGATAAAGATGTAAAGGATTCAGTTACCTTGTAGTTTCTTTTTAGCCTATAAGTGTTTCTTGTGGATCAAAAACAGCTAATGCATGTGAAAATTATTGTTATGTCATCACAAATATTTCAAAGTTGTGAATTATTTTTTGTTCATGTCTTTGTGTTTATGATAGGTTCTATATTATGCAAAATTGACTTTTGAATGCTGTTTCCTGATCAAAAACATACCTTGAGTTGTGCTTTGTTTCATTCTCACATGTTTGAGTAATCCTGCATTATTAGTCTGTCTACATCTCCAAAGCTCAAAATGTTCTTTTCCATCTTGTGATGTCATGAAGTACTAGTAGTTTTCAAGTTAACATCTACCTTTTACCTTTAGTTTTCTAGAGATTGGTAATTCCAAATCTGAAATGATCCAAATGATTCATGTGAAACTTGTGTATGCAGTTTGAAAACACAGTGGGGCACTTCCTGTACTACCACGTGACATCACAAGGTGGAACAGTGTTTTTTGTTTGACAGCAGAACTCAGCCTAAATATGCTGGGTTTGTGTGTTTGTGATGAGGAAACCATTATAACAAAGAACAGAAAATACCATAATATAGGCCCTTTAAAGGTGCATTGTGTAACTTTTTTGTTGGATCATTCGGTGTGATCTCTGTGAGCAAAAGGGCACATTTGAAATATGAGCCTTCACATGACACAGTAACAGTGTTTTATGGAACCAGTAACTGCTGCATTAGTTTGCATATGGTGTACTTCTCCCTGGATTTAACATACAACAGATTTGCAAGATTCAAAGTACAACTAGAAGGACACATGATCAACTGTTTTACATTGTAATCAAGTCTATAGAAAACAAAGGCTGGATTCACACTAGTCCTGCTTTGGTCCTGGTGGATTAGTTCCCTGGTCTAGGTCTAGTCCTGGTTTAGTCATGGTCTAGTCATGGTCTAGTGCTGGTGTAGTCCTGACCCTGGTCTAATGCTAGTCTAGTCCTGGTCTAGTGTGGGTCTAGTCCTGGTTTAGTGCTGGTCTAGTCCTGACCCAGGTCCAGTCCGGGTCTAGTCCTGGTTCAATGCTGGTCTAGTCCTGGCCTAGTGCTGCTGGTCTAGTCCTGGTCTAGTCCTGGTTTAGTGCTGCTGGTCTAGTCCTGGTCTAGTCCTGGTCTAGTCCTGTTCTAGTCCTTGTCTAGAGCTATTTGAGTCCTGACCCTGGTCTAGTGCTGGTCTAGTCCTGTTTTAGTGCTGGTCTAATCCTGGTCTAATCCTGATCTAATCCTGATCTAGTGCTGTCTAAACCTGGTCTAGTCCTGACCTAGTCCTGGACCAGTCCTGGTCTAGTCCTGGCCAAGTCCTGATCCAGTCCTGGTCTAGTGCTGCTGGTCTAGTGCTGATCTGGTAATGGTCCTTGTCTAATCCTGGTCATGGTCTAGTACTGGTCTAATCCTGGTCATGGTCTAGTCCTGGTCTAATTCTGGTCATGGTCTAGTCCTGGTTATAGTCTAGTCCTGGTCTAGTCCTGGTCATGGTCTAGTCCTAGTCTAATTCTGGTCCTGGCCTAGTCCTGGTACTGGTCTAGTCTTGGTCTAGTCCTGGCCTAGTCCTAGTCCTGGTCTAGTCCTGGTCCTGGTCTAATCCTGGTCTAAATCCTGGTCTAGTCCTGGCAGGGTTGTCAAAAGCATTGAATAGTTGAGTAATTAAAGGTGTAACTTTTCTGGAGTACACACTCTATTGTCTCCATTGTTTCACATATAATACGTCATAACATCTCCATGGAAACAAGTACCACCAGACCATGTTACAGGGGTTACAGAGTTATTTTTGAGCACTAAAAACACATGGACACCGGCAGTTGACAGGCTAACCATGTCCATTTCTATATATACACAGTGTATGTTGTGTACCTGCAAACATGAGCTCTGAGACGTCTGGTTTGACATGCAGACAAGTGAAGAGAGGGAGGGGGCTCTGGGCCTGGTCCACTTTGTTCTGAATGTCACTCAGTCTGGTGTCCATCCTCTGGAGAAGACAATACAAACACATAAATAAGGGCAGTGCTGTAAAATACATAGGTCAAAAACTAAAAAAAAAGACTAAAACGAGAGAAGACACAAGATCAGATCCAAGAGAACGAGACAAGATTTTGACATTCTTTATAATAAATAAATTGTACAGTTACCAATTTTGCTGTCATTGTAGCATTGCTTTTTAGGACTACTATAGCTTCTCAAAAAATGCAACTCACCAATACTTAATTTTGTGATCCAATCCATACATTAAAACATGGGGAAAATGGTGAAAAAATCTGATAAATGGGGCAAGGGTCACATTGTACTTTGCCATCCAAAAAAAACCAAAACTGACAAATGTTTAACCTGATCAGTTCTATTACTGACTAGACCCAAGAAATCACTGTATTACAACAAAAATCTGGACTTTGGCCATATTAATCTTGTATTTCATAGAGATCTAAAGCTAATCTGCATCTGTACCCAAAGCAAACCGACCAATAGAAGCAGTGGGTTGAAAACAGTTTTTGTGTTCGAGCAAAGGGCTGCAATATCTGTCTGAAGCTCTGTTAGTTAAATTAGATTTTAATCTGAGCTTTAATCCTTTTTTTTTTTTTCAGGCTATCATAAAACTTTTTTCTAATGATCAGGAGATAGAGATTTATTTGATGAGTGGTGTTATGAATCCATTTCTTCCAGTTTATGAAAATATTATGTTTTGAAATATTCATCCATCACTACAGCATATCTGAGATCCTCCTTATCTCTCACCGCAGGTATGAACGTCTCTCCGATGAGCATTCTTTCTTTCTCTCTCTCTTTCTCTCTCTCTGTCACTTTTTCTCTCTCGCTGTCACACTTTTTCTCTGTTTCTCTGTCACTTTTTCTCTCTCCCTTCCTCCTTCTCTCTCCCTCCATCCTTTCCTCTCCCCTCTCTCTCTCTCTCTCTCACCGCAGGTATAAGCATCTCCCCGATGAGCATTCTTTCTCTCTCTCTCTATCTTTCCCTCCATCACTTCCTCTCTCCCTCCCTCTCTCCTCCCTCTCCCTCTCTCTGTCTGTCTCTCTCTCCCTTTCTCTATCCCTTTCTCGCTCTCACTGCAGGTATGGGTGTCTCTCCGATGAGCATTTTCTTTCTTTCTCTCTCTCTTTCTCTCTCTCTGTCACTTTCTCTCTCCTTCTCTGTCACTTTTTCTCTCTCGCTGTCACACTTTTTCTCTCTCTCTGTCACACTTTCTCTCTGTTTCTCTGTCACTTTTTCTCTCTCCCTTCTTCCTTCTCTCTCTCCCTCCATCCTTTCCTCTCCCTCTCTCTCACCGCAGGTATGGGTGTCTCTCCGATGAGCATTTTCTGTCTTTCTCTCTCATTCTTTCCATCTCTCTCTGTCACTCTTTCCAGCTCTCATTCCTCCCTCTCCCTCCCTCTGTCTGTCTCTCTCTCACTCTCTTTCTCTCTCCCTCCCTCCCTCTCTCTTTCTCTCGCTCTGTCCACAGGTATGGGCGTCTCTCTCTCTCTCTCTCTATCCCACCGTCCATCCCTGCCTTTCTATCTGTCTGTTTGTCTCTCCGTCCCTCCCCCTCTCTCTTGCTCTTTCCCTCCCCCTCTCTCTCTCTCCCCCCTTCCTCCCTCTCCTCCTCTCTCTCTCACCGCAGGTATAAGCGTCTCTCCGATGAGCATCCCAAATATATCGGTGAAGGTGACAGGTTGACCCGTGGCCTTCTTGGTCCACAGAGCCTGGATGTAGTTGGTGATGTGTTGGGGGAGCAGGAGCCTCAGAGGGTTACTGCTCACTCGATTCATCAACTCCTTGTTTATCTCCTTTGGGCCCTTATTTGGAAAATCCGGGTGTGAGTAGAGACTGGACATGTACCTGCAGGTATGCACAAAAACAATGGCACAAGCTTTAATGAAAGGAGGAAACTAAAGAGAAACAACACGGAGTTAGTGAAGTTTCACAGCAGTATCAACCACAAGAAGTCACACCAATGGTATTCACTGATGACTACTTTGTACCAAGGAAGGAAAGGGCGGGATTACATTTGAAACTGGCGCTGAAATGTTTCAGTATAAAGGAAAGTGGAATTGATTCACATATTAAAAATTCACTTATATACCAGTGTAGGCAGGCCCAAGGACACAACAACAGCATTTATCTGTGGGAGCCAGAGTCCTGCACGGGTTCCTTTTTAGAGACCCGCACCCGACCGCACCTGTACAGTAAAGCACCACACCTGCCCATTAACCCGTGATGATATTAAAGTTAAATCCGCACCCGCCCAGACCCGTTAACATTCCACCCATTACCCGTGATAAATCTGTGTCAGACCATTAGTCCAATAGCCCAGTCGACCAGGACTAAACCAGGACTGAACCTACATCGTGTCATTAGCGAATAAAAAATATATACACGCTGTAACCGCAGAGCTGATCGCCAGGACTATGTCAGGACTGGACCCGGACTACACCAGAACTTAACCAGGTCTAAACCAGTGTCATTAGCATAGATATATACATGCTGCAACCCCGAGCTGATCACCAGGACTACACCAGAACTGGACCAGGACTGGACCAGGTCTAAACCCAGACTAAATCAGGACTGAACCAGGACTAAACCAGAAGTGCAGCCGGCGAGTCAATCGCTGATGGTTTTAAGTAATAAATACACTGAAGTCTCTCTCACCTGGTCCATCTTTCCAGGAAAAGACAGGAAATGGCACTTGTTTCCAGGGCAACGGGCGCCCTGGACACCTCAATTATTTTTCTCTCATTTGTCGTTCATTTGATTCACCTGACCTGCCCGTGTGTAATCACTACCTGCCCGTAAACTTCCTGCTTCAGCAACTATTTGGGTACTCGACCTGGTGCAGGACACTGGTGGGAGCTGGAATGGCACCGCCAACCAATGACATTTATGTTGAGAGCGAGATTCAAACCACAAATCATCAAATCAATGGACAAACCCTCTACCAAAGGAGCTACTATCACCCAATAAAGATCTCTGATACCAATTCACACTTATTGGTATGATTAGTGTATAACTTTGTTCAATTTATGACTAAAAGGAATAAGAAAGGTACGTATTTTCAGACTGACCATGTGGACCCAGACAAGCCTGCGATGTAAGTGGCACAGTCCAGGACCCCAGACTCAAACAGGGCCTTCATAACTCCAGAGAACCCGACCATGGCCCGAAAGCCACCTCCAGACCCTGCTATGGCGATCACTGGCACCTGGAATACACAGCAACAACAGAGTCATGATCATTTAACTTGGATTATGTTAGATTATGATTATTTTGGTGGGGTCTGCTTAACAAATTATAGATTCAAACTGATAAACAAGATGAAGTATTCATTCCCTGATTTGTCCAGGAGTGGTCCAATATAGAGAAGGGTTTAGTGGGATTCATCTGGCCATATTAAGTATATAACATTAAACTGAAAATGGCTTGCACCAATTCCAAAACTAGTGTCCAGTAACCACCAGCTCTAAAGGTCCTATATTACAAAAAGACACATATTTGAGTAACCCTGCATTATTAGTCTGTCTACATCTCCAAAGCTTAAAATGTTCTTTTCCAACTTGTGATGTCATGTAGTAGTTTTCAAGTTAACAGCTACATTTTACCTTTAGTTAAATGGAGATCAACAATTCCAGGGCTAAAATCCACCACGTGATTCCACAGTAGTGAACGTTTAAAAGCACAGTGAGACACTTCTTGTATCACCACATGACATCACAATGTAGAACAGAGTGTTTTCTGTTTGAGAGAAGGACTCAGCCTAAATTGTCAGGGTTTGTGTGTTAAACATGTGGGAATGAAACAAAATACAACTCCAACACAACTAAGTGACTATTTCCGCAGTATGTGGTGATCAGGGGAAGGGCCCTAATTATAAAGCACTGCGGGAAACACTGATTTCCGTATTGATACCTGTTTAAACAAGTTTCAATTTAAGTTTAAGAATTACACTTTTTCAACCCTAACTGACCCAATTATCGGATGTATGACCACCTTAATCTGTAATCTCATAATTACACTTGACAAAGCATGAGGCAGCAATCTCGCTTTCAGTCAGTTGCATTTTTGTGTCTTGAGTAACTTCTCCTTCTTTCAGGAAGCCTTCAGTTGCATCAGATCTTTAAAAAAATAATCCAGGCGTTGGAATTTACAAGCATTTTGTAATCTCTATTGCAAAATATCAGAAAATACTTCACTTTTTGGGCATTCATTCATCAAGTGGCATCTGGGGTCACATAGGGTCAGGTCTGTCCAGATAATAACCGCATCGGTATAAAGTTCAATACAGTTCATAGTTTTTTCTGGATCCAAACTTATTAATTGTGCAGTAAAAAAGTTATTTCCTTTCTTTTTTGTCCTATTACACATAGCCTATATGAATAACATTTGAGCAGTAGTTGGTCGGATAATTAAAGTGCCTGTATCCAATTTTCTTCATGTATTTTGGTAAAAGATGTGTGGTACAGATATGTTATATGAGCAACTCTTAAGGTAGTCTGCTTTGTACTTTCAGCACCTAATTATATAAAGTGTTTTATTGTCCGAGGATAAAGAAGTGCACAATTAGCGTGCTAGTTGTTCTTAGTATGACCATGACCATGATGGCTCTGTTCTCTTAAGGGTTTGGAAAGTGCTTATAAATTCATCGCGGTGAATAATGATGATGCTTGGAATGCATGAGGGATTAGTGAGGGTTTCTAGCTCTGTTTTAACATTTTAGATGTGGTACACTGCCTTTAACATTTATTACCCAGTATAGATATTAGAATCCATTACTAAAGGGTTAAATTGTGCACTTTTTTACATAAAGGAGACCTAAAGTGCTTGTGTCTGCTCTATAGCTATAATCTAAGACACCAAACCCTTATGCTATATTTTGCTCATTTTAAATAGAAATATTCATCTAAGACAGTGGTTTTCAATAGGTGAGGCGCCAAAGAGCCACTAGAGAGGAGCAACATAGGCGGACTGATCCCAGGAGGATTAAACCAGGTCTGAAGTAGGACCGTGTGCCGGCGGTGGAGAAAACGGGGGTTGATCGACAATATGGCATCTTGAAAGTGAAAGATCACTCAAACATGCATGAATCACTCCAAATACAACTTCAGGGTGTCAATGATGAGGAGAAACAATTAAAACAAGGTCAAAAGTTTGAAAAGTCCATTTTACAGAATAGGTCTGCTTTTTACTGGGATTATGTGGTTTTAATGTTCTTGTGTATTGTGATATAGTTTCAACATTATCAATTATTATGGAATTTTTCTGTAGCAATATATCAAAAATGCGTTATCATGACAGGACTAGATGTGGCTAGTAGCTGCTTTTGGCACAGGCTGCAGACATGAACAGACCTGGGTGGGAGATTACAGCCAAACTCAAGGGCAAGCAGTCAAAACCACAGTGAGAAAATGAAACTCTGACTCTGCATTGTGCTGCTCGGTTCAAACCAGCTGCACGCTTCTGTTAAAGGTATACAACGTATGTTGTACTGCAAAGTCTGACTGAAATAGCATGAGGTCTTAACTAATTTTGAAACGGAAGAAGAAAAATAATCTTGGTTACTTGCAAAAATACAATAAGGAAGTAATAGGGCAGGATGAATTTGAATTGTTATCTGCTATTATTTTTACAAGGCAATATTTCTATCACTATTAAAGGTTCATTGTGTAACTTTCTGGTGGAGGGTCCATCAAATGCTTTGCTCTAAGGAAATATTATTGCTCCATCTGGAATGTTTCACAGTATAGTATTAAACCTTTCTATCCTCATGGAGAAGTTACAGGTCAGATCTGTGGAGAGGCAACCCCACTTACAGTCAGAATGCCTGTTTTCCTAGGTATTTTTAAGATATACTACAAAATACCACCTATAATTTAATAAATATAAGGTAGAGATGTTTAATGTCATACTGTGGAACATTCCAGGAAGAGCAATGACATATCCATAAAGACAAGAAGGTGACAGACCCCCAACAAAATATTGCATAGTGCTTTGTCAAGGGCCATACTGGTTAATTTTTTCACTAGTTTCTTTGTACTTTTTTTTTTTTTTTTTTTTTCAAATTAGTGGTTCATGATCCAGTTCAAAAAAGTTTCTAATTCTTCAAATATATTGTTTTAAATGTTATTCTGCATTTACCTGGAGCCTCTTTTTCAATAATACCAATGGGCAGGGGTCTCGAACCTTTGGTGCATGCAGTTTCAGCTTCTAGATATAGGTGACATTGTTAATTGCTACAGTTACGTGCAAATTTTTCATCACCCTAAATTCAAACCCCGAAAATTCGGAAACAGATTCATAGATGTGTTTTCTATTTGTGTTCCAAATTATTCGGTTATTAGGTCAATATACCAAAATATCCAATATCGAATTTCTTCCTTTGTATTGTATTGTCAACACTAACAGAGCACTCAGAGAGCGCAGACCTCCACCAAGGACTACCCCCATTTTTTATATAAACTGCGATAAAATCAGTCTTCTAGATCAGATCCGGATCAGCCTTTGGAATACGAAAGAGGATCCCATTGTCCATCCCTGAGTCAAATTTCATGGGGTTTGGTCAATAATTAATTGATATTAAGAAACAAAATTTTTGGCCCCATTTACCACAATGTTAACTAAAATTTCAAAGTGATCCAGAATCCAGGATTTCTTCCGGATCACCCCCAAAATGAAATCAGTTCTTCCTTTTCACATTTCCAACAAATTCTGAAAATTTCATCAAAATTGATCCATAACTTTTTGAGTTATGTTGCTAACAGACAAACAAACAAACAAACAAACAAACAGACAAACACCGGCAAAAACATAACCTCCTTGGCGGAGGTAATAACTGTGCAAGCTGAATTTCTATAACTTGCCAAGAAACCTCAAAGCAAAGTAGCTTTCTTCGACATTTTTATTTTGTTAATATCATGACAAGGGACTTAATGGTTGGCACGTGTATTTCTAATGTTAATTGTCACATTTTTGTTTTCTTTTTCTTTTTCAATTGATGCCAACAAAATTAAATGGCATGAGCAATAAATAAATACATGTCGGAGTAATAAACCCGGTCTGATTTAATCACTAAAACAGTTGGAGTTTATATGATGTTTTATTTTTTATCCTGAAGCCTGTATTGTGTAAACCTTTCATATCCCTGTAATTACCAGGGTTGTCGACAGAAATTTGGGGGCCTGGGGCAAGAATTTTCAAACGGGGCCCCCTCTAATATAAATTAAAAGGAAGAGGGTCCAATTCTGGGCCCTTAAAACTCTGGATCCCTGGACAACAAACTCCTTTGTCCCCCCGGCTACTGCCCTGAGTACAGCTGGGTATCACTCAGAAGTTGCCGATACGATGCATATGTCGATACAGTGAGCTTTTGATTCGATAAGATATATTTCAAATTGATTCAGTAGAGTCTAATAAAAGTAATGGCAAAATCATGGCTGTGATACTAAAAGTTTTTGCTAAACCAGTTCTTGTGCAAGGTTAATATGAAACACTCCCATTTTAATCATCATTAATGTGTGTTGCAAAAACAAATTCCCTTTCTCTAAACAAGCAACAAAACTGGAGCGTTGTAACAAAATAATTTAGTAAAATATAACAAAAAATACTTTTGGCGATATATATCGATATTGTATCATCATATTAAATGAAGTGATATATTGATATTTCTATATTTTTGCACACCCTAGTTCTGAGTGTTACCTCCTCTGGTGCACTGGGCAGGTAGCGTGGTTTCTCCATGTCCAGTAGTTTCTTGATCCCCAGCATCACTCTCTCTCGGCGCGTGTGTCTGAACTCTTTCTCTTTATCACACAGAGCCACACTGAAGCGCAAGTCCTGGTTTGTGCTGAAAGGTAAACAATAAGTGATCAGGGCTAGGAGATTCTGACAAAAATAACTATAATCAGATCATATTTTTGGCAATACACATGAGAAAGGACAACAGATAGAAATTAGCACTTAATAATAAAATCTGGCAGTAAATACAGTAATGTTTAAACTAATGTTAGACAATGTGGCAATAAAATTAATAGTTTTTTTTTCTGTATTTCTGTATTGATTGGTCACAGTTTTCAGTTTTATTTGATAATTTCTTAATTGCTTTGATTTCAGGTTTACGAATATACACAAAACAGACATTTAAACAGTTCCATTTAGCACAACAAACATATATATTCCTATAGCTTTTAGTAACGGTTTCTCTGGTGTTTTTTGGATTGGGACCAATAAAATCTACCACTCACAGATGGGATTGCCAAAAAAATCTAAACTCATATATTAAAATTAATAGTAGATACTAAATTGAATAGGTATCAGTTTTGAAAAGAAACACATAAACATCTATTCTTTTGTGAATAGTTTTAAAATGGTACTGTCCTGTATCAAAACTAGAACATATTGTAATTTTATAAAAAGTAAGATTATTTTATGTGAGAAAATTACATTGTTCTGTATAAACAAAAGCCTTTTTATTATCATTGTGGAATCAAAATTGGTTTCTAGAAAGTTTGAAGTTTTAGTATGATAACGCAACATGATGAATGAGGGTTTAGTTTGTTAGTATTTTTTTGGCAGTGGAAGGAAACTAGTTTATGGAATACATTTGACATAATGCGAAAATGTATTTGGTTCTTAAAAAAGAACAATATGAGAGTATCATTTACAATATATCGATTATCATGTGTATTTCCATATCATGATAATATCGTATTGTGAGTCATGTATCGTGTATCGAATCCTGAGTGACCCTGTGATTCTCAGCCCTAGTTAGGATATACTGAATATTCAAATGTTGTGTGTAATATTTGTATCAGTGAGAAGTCCTGTAGTGTGTATACCTCTGCCCAACTTTGGAAATATGATCTGTGTAAGAGCAGTTAGTGTCAAACAGGAGGCGTGACCTTTCTGTTACATTTACCACTCTCCATTACAACGCTCTGAGGAATGATCACTATTTAATTTTGTTTGTTTAACTCTGAGCTGTGATGCTACATGAAAGCTCAGGCACATGTGAGTTTACATTATTATACGTCACTCACAACACTGTAACATCTAATTTTAGATGCTTAAAGGCCCATATCACACTATTTAATGACCTATGCAATAATGTTTTTTCCTCATCACAAATAGACCTGGAGTTGTGTTTTGTTTCATTCACACATGTTCAACACACAAAAGCTGCATATTTAGGCTGAGTTCTTCTCCCAAACTGAGAACACTCCGTTCCAACTTGTGATGTCATGTAATAATACAGGAAGTGCTTTGCTGTGTTTAAATCCTGTGCTAGAATCATTTGGATAATTTCATTCCAGGAGTGCCAATCAAAAAGTTTACTCAAGCATGTGAGAATGAAACAATAAACTCCAGGGATGTTACTGATAAGGGAACAACATTATAACATGACTTAAAACCAATTATTCTCTTTGTTTAATCTATGTAATGTACGTAAATTACGTAAAGGAAAATAACATAATATAAGGACACATGTTTACCAGATCTCCAAAGACATTTTCAAGTGTACTTTGGTGGCCTGTAAAACAAAACAAACAAAAAACTGTTTAAAACATGAAATACTTTGTAATATATTATGTAATATATATGCTAAATATTTAGTTATAATTTTGCTAAAGGTGCATTATATGGGGCCCATCACCTGCTTGTCCCACAGTATGGCATTTAACTTGCCTAAGAAGAGACTACCAAGCAGTGTAACAGGTCAGATCTATGGAGAGGCAAGCCCACTCAAAGCAAGAAAGCATGTTTTTCAAGGCATTTTGTTTAGTAATACCAACACTTTGAACTGAATAAATTAAAGATAGACAGATATGTTTAATGCCGTAAAAGTTACACGGGGCACCTTTAATTAAACAGCTCTAGACTAATGTCTTACTTTGCCAATAAGGAAAGTCTCTGTCTTGGTTTCCCCGACATTGAGTTTGTTTAACTCGTACGACGCTGTTCCAAGAGTCTCATCCATCACATAATTGGCATCCATTAGCGTTATCTGAAAGTATATATAATATAAAGATTACAGATTAACAGATTTACATAACAGTTAATGGTAATAGTGCAGAATAGGTGTATACCTCCAGGACATTGGGCTGGTTTGGGTCGAGGATGAACTGGAAAGTCTCGTTCCATTTTGGGTTGATGTCGTTGTCTATGTGTTTGGTTTTTCTTCTGCTCTCGGGGGCAGTGGGGATGAACAGCTCCACATAGGGGTCTGGAGTGTCCACTGCAAAGACAGTTATTATTATAATAAGAACAGTGTATTGTAATGATAAACCTGCAGAAATACGGTTAGCATAGACAATCTTCAGTACTTTGCCTTATTCTGAACCAGTCTTGTTGAGTTTGAGTATACACTCTTACTGATGCACAATACTGACATCGGTATCAAATATCGCCACTGATTCATAGAAATTTGCTGGATTGGGTATCAATTTCATGATATCGATTTGATATCCTTGTTGGGCCTTTATTTGGATGTAATGAGACTATTTAGTGACTGGTGTAGGCCCAGGACATCTGATAATGTTTGAACTTGAATTCATACAAAGCTGTTCTGTGGTCCCCTGCAGGATAAAGAAGCTGCATTAGATCAAATTTGTAACTGTGTTTTGATATAAATGTTCCATTTTCAATCCATACACTGGTATCGGTTAATATCGGATATCAGCAGATACTTAAAACCCTAATATCATAACTGAAAAAGATGGGTTGGTGCGCCCCTATACACTGTAGTCTTAGGCTGCAACCACTGGTTATTTTAGTAGCTGTGTAGTCAAACAATTACTTTTATTTAGACTGACAGAAATAAGGCTGCCAATTTACACCATGAACCCCTCTGACCTCTACCAACCAAAAATACATCAAATATTCAAATAAACAGCAATTGCAATACTTTCCTTATAATAATAGTATAAAATATGTATCCTCCAGTCATACTTACATAAGTCTCCCAGCGCTCCTTTGGTCACACTCTCAGCTTTGACCACTGTGACTGTAAACTTATGAGAAAACTGCTGTTCCACCTAAAGAAAAGCACAGTAAAGTGTTAGCATAGCATTTAAAATAGCACTATAAATCTGCAGCTGAGGTCCTCTATAAGGTACACATCTGTGCAGGTTTAAACCCGTCACACTTTCATATGGTCTCTATAAAACATGTTAACATTCACTGCCTGCCAAAGTCTGTTAAAACAATCCCGAGTATATGCACAGAGAAATATGAGCCGTTTATACAGTGCAACTTAAACAAGCCTCTCTTTGTCTTCACTGACACTCAGATACAGATTTATACTAAATAAGTAAAGAATGTTTTTATTCACAAATCCAAAAGAAATGTATAGTTCCTCTTGGGGGATTAAAATAATCAGGCATGAGTTGAGTAGCTAGCCATACACTATAATAATATTACTCAAGTACAAGTGCAAAATAGAAGTCCAAGAAATGACACAAGAAAGAGGAAATATATGTAAAAACTACACCTGAAACTACTGCTGATACTCTTACTCTTAAATTACAATAACTAGTACTACTAATTCAAAGCAACTGTTTTCTTGTAACAACTGTCTTATAATTTGAAATTACTGCAAATGGAAGGACAAAACATGAAAGAATGCACTAATTTTGGTATTTTCAAATGCTTGACCAAAAAAAATTGAAAAATTACACTACATCTGAAGGAGTGGTGCAAGAAACATAGATATTCAAATCATTTCATATTATCAGCTTAAAGCTTTTGTCACTCACAGTGAGAACTCAAGCACCTCAAGTAATAGTACTGTTACACTATAAAATATATTGCTTAAGTAGGAGTAAAAGTATGCTGTCTTTAACTCAATATTATGAAAATAGCTCATATAAATGAGAGCTACACACCTATAAAAAATATTGTGTTGACTCTGCATGTTATGTTTTGTTTGATTACATAACTATATTCAAATATGACCCTTAAAAGGAAAAGCAATACTATTATGCAAAAGATGCAATTTGAGACTAGACTGTGTTTCCCAATACTTACTATAATATTAGACGCCATCTCTCAGGACTTTGCTTTTTGTGTGTTAGAAGAACTTGTCAGTAAAGAAGTGTAGCATTTAGAGTCTGTAAGAAAAACAACAGGGCTGGTTAACTGCATACTGAAAAATGACAGTTTTAAATATATACTTAAGCGCACTGTGTAACTTTTTGGTTGGGGTCCATCACTGCCTGCTTGTTTCTATGGATATATCATTGCTCTGCCTGAAATGTTCCACAGTATGACATTAAAATTACAAGTGGTTTTATAGCTCAAAAATACCTAGAAAAACAGGCATTCTGACTGTGAGCGTAACTGTGAGTTTGGTCTCCATGATGATAGAAAGATTTAATGCCATACTGTGCTAGCCAGGATGGCGCCACCTTGTGCCTCCGCTCAATTTAATTTCTCTCCAGTGACTAGATCAGGAATCAGAAGACAGTTCACAAAAACCCTGGAAGTGCGAGTCCGGGCGCCAGCCAATCAGCAAAGAGCCATACATCCTGTGTTGGCAACGATTCCCAAGATTGAGGATTTAAAGATGGAACAGAGAGAATGTTTGGTGAATTTTATCAAGGGGAAAGACATTATTGCCCATCTTCCTACGGGATTTGGGAAACACTTAATATATCAGTTAGCCCCGACCAAATAGCAGCAATTGGTTAAATGAAAAAAAGTACCGCCTGGGTCAATTCAACTTATGAATTGAAAAACTCAAATGGCTCTCAGGTCACACGTAGACTTATCATTACAACACAAGAAGTGAAATATATTAGCAAAATTACAGTTGACATCTGTGGAGAGGCAAGCCTTCTTAATGCATGTTCTCAAGAATGCAATGGAGCTCAACAGTGGCCAGCCTCCCCGGGTCTGTAAGTAAATCTCTCATTAATTTTTCTCATACACGTAAAGGATATTAAAATTTGAAAGCTCAGGGCCAATCAGCTTCAGAGTAACTCATGACCATAACATTAAAATTTAGTTTTAAAATCTGTTTCTGAAACTTTATAAACCGCTAGGTTATTAAAACATTTTGCCGGATGCTGAGCTTTTAATGTGCTTTTTTTAGTTTCCAAGTAGCTGGTCAGCCTCTGTGATGTGTTTAAACTTTTAATATCTGAAATTTTCAAAAGGCCTGTGGGAAAAATGTAACGGAACACATGCAAAACAGATGCGTTTCATACTATACAGTGGAACAAAGTAAAAGAATGAAAAGTTACATAGTGCAACATTAAAAACAGTGATCACTTATAGAATCTACCACAAATCCTGCTGCCCTACAAAAGCAAAAGAACTCACCAAAGTGTGAAACTGAGAAAAATTACTTCAAAGTTTCTGTTTTGTCCAGACAAAAGTATAATAGGTAGGGCTCCCAAACTGACACGTTTACTGTCTTTGGCCTTTGCATGACTCCTTATTTTTGACACATGATACAAAGGCAGAGCACAGGAACTGACACATAAGGGCCAAAGGTAAATTTTGACCTCAATATTTTTCAAAATATTTATTCACATGATAAAGGAGGTCTCAAATATCCCCACAATGACATTAACTAATTTTGACCAAACATGATGTTATTGCGTTCTTTCTGCCTTTCTAGGGCAGCATGGACAAATACTCAATTCATAAATGTATTTATTATTTTAAGTAAAAACCATAAAAATTATTGTAATTATGACACGTCTGGTATTAATAGGAAGTACGGCTGCAGAATTTTAGATAAGAAGTGCTCTATGTGTTTAAAATATGATTCTTTTCAGAGTGCACATTGTAAACAACTCCAGGAACGTTACATTTGAGAGAAGACTGAAAAATGAACTGATAAACTAATACAAGAAACCCATGCATTACAGAACTAAACTACACAAGTCTCCTCTATAAAAAGACAGGGTTTTTATTCTTTACTGAAGACATTCTATGACCTAAATTGCAGCCTTTGCAATTTGGTAACTGCAATTTCGATTTGTCATATATTAGCTCTAGTACTTTTAACAAGTTACAGCAACGGTCCTCCATCACCATGGCTATTAAGCAATTCATTTAAATTTATGATTCTTGTGAATGGGGAACGAATAGGAAACTGTGCTGCAGCAGAGGCTCCGAAGCCACAACAAGGCGTGATAAAACCGAGAGCGTAGAAATGTAGTTATCAGTAAAACATTTTCTTTCCTGGCACAACTCAGGGGAAGTGAGTGGCCACAAAACCACGATAGGGGGTGAGAGGGAGAGAGAAAGCCAGAGAAAGAGAGAGAGTGGAGTGGAGGGAGTAGAGAAAAAGGAGGGGGTGAGAGGTCACTACTTTTCAATTGGTACAACAAGTGCTCTGCAATACTACATAACTTTAAGTGGACCTATCTGCTGATACCCATATCAAACGATACCAGGGCAGAGAGAGAAAATATCATTTGTTGCCTTTAAACACAAACAGCAGTAGGTAAAACATGATCCAAATGTGTTATGTAACTCTTATTTACAATTTTAAGTAATCACTCAACAGCTTCGTAAAAATACAGGTTTAATATTATGAGATGTTTTGGAACATTGGACCTGGGGTAGTGTTTTGTTTCATTCACACATGTTATCATACAAACCCAGCACAATTAGGCTGAATTATTCTCTCAAAAGGAAAACACTCTGTTACACTTTGTGATGTCATGTGGTAATACTGGAAGTGCATTGTGTTTTTAAACTTTGTACATCTTCACTAGAATCATTTGGATAATGTCAGGCCTGGAAATTCCCATTTCTTTTGAACAAAAGGTAAAAATGTAGCTGTTAAATTGAAAACTACCACTACATGACATCACAAAGTGGAACAGAGCATTTTGATCTTTAGAGATGTAGACAGCCTAAGAATTCACAATTACTCAAAAATGTATGGATGAAACAAAACACAACTTCAGGTATGTTTTTGATGAAGTAACAACATTAATAAAAGAGTTAATTTCGTGTAATATGACCTTTAAAGTACACTTATCAATGCAACCTTGGCATTTTGATTAGAGACTGGGCAAAAGGGAATACAAATTGCTCAACAGATGCTCAACAAAGCATATTAGAAGTGAGTGGTCCATCAGCACGTATTCTTCTCCATGTGTGCTCATCAGTCACGTAGTTTGCATCAATGATCCAACTTTTCACTGTGCCTGTTTCCGGGCAAAAAAAAAGAGAAGAGAAGAGCAGAGAAGGGGAAAGAAGCAGAGGACACATGCCATGGTGCTGCCTGTGCCAATTCTACCCTCTGAGCTGAGCAGGCACAGACAGATTTTCATATGAGGACACAAAATGAGACAGACACACAAGGGAAACAGAGATGCAAAACAGATGCGAGAATTGCAGCTCAGGAGCCAAGCAATGACCAGCTATGGCACTTCTGTCTGGTCTAAGTCAGTGATATTAACATTTTTGAGTTGTTACTAGGAATAAATAAGTGGTACAAATAAAGTCTGTGTTTAATAATAGGTATCAAGAAGTTCAAATATTGGATAGATATATTTATTTTGGTAAATCTGCTGCCTAAAAAATATACACAAAGCTTCAAAGAAACACTTTAATACAAAAAGAGCTGCACAAAACATGACTACACAGGTCCCTTATAGGTTTGTGGTAAGAAAGAGCTTGGTGGGAGTTTGTGGTAAATTTAAATGACATAAGTTGGGGAAAATTAAACATTTATCAATCATCTTGTCAATCATATATCAAATATTGGCTCCACGAAGACAAGGAGGTGGTGCTATCAGTCCAAGTCACAGGTTTGATCTGTAACTTGCAATAAGAAGTTTTTTTTAAAAAGAAAAAACAGACATTTGTAAATGAATAATGCTACACAGATATATCTGATGCCATACTGGGGCATTAAATTAAATGTACCAATACCAGTATCAGATATTGAAAATTTTGGTGGATAAGATCTCGGTTCCAAGATATCAGTTCAGTTAATAGCCCACTTTGGTCTATAAATAGGTGTAATAAGATGATTTACTGGCCCAAAACTTATAAGATTCAACTTGTATTCTTACAAAGCTGTCATAACACTTTCAATTACACTTTTGGATCATTTTACCATACATTTTTTGTGTTTACAGGAAATCATTTTTATTTTCAGTCTCTGCACTAGTATCAGTTGATATCAGCTATGGGAAGATGGTGAAGCCAAAGTATCATCATAGAAAAATCTATGAAGTTAATGAAGACAAGCAGAAAGCAGACTGCTCCACCAGAAAAGTTATAGTGCACCTTGAAGTGGCACACCTGACAATCCCTCAAAGCCCAGGACAATCAAAGCAGTAATGACTTTATGAATGAAAGTGCAGGTCGTCATTATAAGTAAGTGACACCCACTGATGACTATCAATGAGGCTAGCTATTCAGTGGACAAGAGGTACAGTACAAAACATGCTTAAGGTGCTATAAACTGGTTTTGCCTGATTTGTTTGGGCTCTCAAGACCCAGATTAAGACCAGATCTGAGGGGAGAGACAGTGCAATAACAAAGCATTTTAAACAAGAGTTAGAACTATATCATGATTAATATATTTTTAGTCTTGTCAGCAAAATAGTAATGGGATATAATATTACTACTACTAATAAAATTTTATACGTGATTGTGCATTACGCATTGGCTACGGAAAACACTCGTGCAGTTGTTGATTGGCTAGATGTTTTTTTAAGACAAATCTATATTTTAGCAGTTAGTCGGTGATATGAAACTGCTTACTTCGGACAGTATTCAATGCGTTTTAAAGTTCCTCGTCCAGTGAGTTCCGTAAAGAAGCTGAGACTTGTGAAACTGTAGCTTGGTTCCCCCCGCACCTGATTGCGCAAAACTGACTTGAAGACACAAAAAGAGTCAAAGTTACAAGTAAACTTACCTTACGCGTTTTGAACAGGGTTATCCTGAGAAAAGTTGTCATGCTGTCCGCGTTAACCGCAGCAGCAGTGGGCAGAGGAAAGGAGGAGTCACGCGAAGATCGGAATACGCGCCGAAGCTGGATGACAGGTCCAACAAGAAACAAAACTTTCCATCGTCCAAAAAACTGATTTTGGTGTAAATCGTAAAGAACGTTAACAAGTGAGTAACGAGAAACTCCGAGAAAAGTCAGCCATTGACTCAGCACTGTTGCATTCTCCAGAGAGGCACGAGTATTCACCTTGTTCGCGATCACCTGTGTCCGCTAGAGGGCACTACGTAATATTTTTCAGCTTATACTCGGAAGAGACGAAAACTTGGTTCATATCAGAAAACTGTAGTTGGCCTTTAAAAATATAAAATACAATTAGGCTATACTTATAGAATATATATTTGGCAACTATTACCCTTAGACCAAAGAAATACGCTTACATCACTATTTTTTGTTAAAATAAATTATTAATAAATCATCATTTATATACATCTTGTGAAACGGGATCAAATGGCATTCCGTTATTTATATTTGAAAGGATATACACTTACACTTTCTTCCATTACGCAAATATTAGCATAGGCGACAAGTTGGCAATTACCATTACGCATATTAATTTGCTTAACATATTGAGCATACCTATGAATTACATCACCCTTCATAGTCATAGTATAGCTATTTAACAAATCTATGCTGTAGACCTATGTAATACTGCCATTTATATTTTACATAAAGCATAAGATTACTTTTTTTCCCGGAAATATTAAATTAAATTTGATATAGTACATTACGCATATTCATCCGCTTGAAATACTGAACATTGATATGAAATTCATCACCCTTCAGTCATAGGTAATTGACATATCCGTGTTATCTGCTGTAATTTATATGTTTAATATAAAGGTTTTCATATTTATACTATTACGCAAATATTAAATGGGCTTGTGAGTAGGCTACATTACGCATATTAATTCGCTCTAAATATTCATCACCCTTTCAGTCATAGTCCAAATCATGCTCAGTCACAGAAAAATTCATGATAAAAACCCTACTATCTTTTATAATTTACATAAAGCATAAGGTTTTTTTTTCTGTTACGCAAATATTAAATTATAGGTCAGTTACTACATACCCATATCCATTCGCTTAAAACATTAATATGAAATTCATCACCCATCAGTCATAGTAAAGGTTTTTTTTTTTTTTTCAAACCTCTGTTACCTAATAATTTATCAGTGACCACCGTACAACCGTAGCGTACGTGTCCCGTCCCCAGTGAGAGAAAATTTAAAAAAAATTTGAACACTTGAGGCGGAAACAAGTTTAATTGTGCAAGAAAACAAGATAAATCCCCGTTTTGGATGTGCATACGCGTACTGTGGCGGTGGTGTGATGATGATGAGAAAGGAAGGGGGGTGAGGAGGGGGGAGGAGGGGGAGGGACGGGGGATGTCGTCACGCCGTGGCATATAAAAGGTGGACAGGTTGGGCATACTCAGTACCAACTTACGAGAGAGAGGGGAAAGAGGAGAGAAAAGGAGCAAGAGGAAAAACACAACTAAGAAAAAAGCATTTGGAGTATGTACAAACTCGCGACGGCGGTTCTGCTTTTTGCGCTCGGCGTTCTGGTCTGCAAAGGGGGTAAGAAGCACCGACTTTTTCCTTTCAGATTTGCAAGTTTTACGCTCTAAGCTTGAAATGTGGACTGTAGTAGATAGTATTTCACACATGCTGGTTTCACGTGTCTCTTGTTGCAGATTTACTCTTGAGGTTTGTGTAGAAATCAGACGCACTGATAATGTTACACTTAGATGTTATAACGTGGAAAGATAAGATATGGTTTTGATGTGGTAGTTTGCGATAATAACACTTTATAATACTTTAAGCTGGTTTAAACTGCATTACAGCAAAGAATGCATTTGCTTAGAAGACACTCGGGCAATTCTAACAGAAGAGAATACACTTTTAATAGCCCTAAAATGATTGTAATAGTAGGCTTATTTCTTAAATATTTTAGGCTTAGATCTAGTTATTATATTATTGTAGCCATCATAACATACTACCTAAAGTATTTCTATTTAAACTACATTACACCAAACACTGGATTTGCTTAGAAGATAAGCTCTTGCCTGGAGATTTCTAATACACTTTTACACTTCTATTATTTTAACTGTAGCCTAAAGATGTTTGTGTATGCAGATATTTGATTTTCACGCATTGTATTAAGTGCTGTGATTGTTTTTTCAGATAATCCTTGCTGTTCACAGCCATGTGAGAACAGAGGAGTCTGCATGGAGAAAGGCACAGACGCTTATGAATGTGACTGTACACGGACAGGGTTTTACGGACAAAACTGCACACAACGTAAGCACTAAATTCCCCCCAAAAAACAGCAAAAAAAGTTTTAATACTTATAAATTTTGTATAACTTTTTTTTTTTTTTTTAATCTTTAGCGGAATTCATGACATGGCTCAAAGTTACCCTCAAACCAACGCCAAACACAGTGCACTATATTCTCACACATTTTAAGGGCTTCTGGAATATTGTGAATGGAATTTCATTTTTACGTGACGCCATCATGAGTTACGTCCTCACGTGTAAGTATTATGACCTATATTTCAGCTTTCTTTCAGACAAAATCCCTTGATAATGCTGGGTTTTTTGTGTAACAATTGTATTAACTTTGACTTTTTATTGTTTTTTTACAGCTCGTTCACATATGATAGACAGTCCACCGACGTATAATGCAGACTATGGCTACAAAAGCTGGGAAGCCTATTCAAACTTGTCCTACTTCACCCGGACGCTCCCCCCTGTACCAGAGGATTGCCCAACACCAATGGGAGTCGTAGGTGAGAGCGCGTGCTACAATTTCCTTGTATTTCCACCTCTCTTAAGCTGCTAGAAACCAGTTCTTTCAGATTCTTCGTAACTTAGTGAAGAGTGTTGTCATTACGTCACGGGAAGCACGTAGTATATGTAATTATAACTCTGAATAGATTAGAACAATGTGTTTCATCTCTAGCAACCAAATTAGAAACTGTTTGTTTAATGTATTATAAGCAGTGAGTCAAGTTTAGGTAATTTAAATGGGATTGAAGCATATACGTAGCATTGTACGTGGAAATTGGTATATTATTAGGATGCAATTTTGATCTCATAGTTATGCAATTCATAATCTAAACAATATTACTTCATCTAAACGTAAGGAAAAAAACTCACCTTTCCATAAGAACTACATTGTTTTTATTGAAATACAAGTTTTTGTTCATTTTATCTTCAGAGAGCAGACAACTACTCAAATCTATTGCCATGTGTGTATAGAATAAAAATTAATACCTTGATGTGAATGATTTAGAATAAACCAAGATATTTTTCTACTCACTTCAGTTGATCCTTGTGCTCTGCTTTTAACAGCAGTGAAATCAACTTGTGTAGGTAATGTATGAAAGCTGATTTTAATTGAATCTTATGCTTTCTTTTCACAGGTAAGAAGGAGCTGCCCGACGCAAAGGAGTTAGCAGAGAAGCTCTTAGTGCGCAGACGTTTCATCCCAGACCCACAGGGCACCAGCCTCATGTTTGCATTCTTCGCTCAACATTTCACCCACCAATTCTTCAAATCTGACATGAAGAGGGGCCCTGCATTCACTGAAGCGCCTGGTCATGGGGTATGTTTTTAAAATATTGTAACCAGATATGTAGATAAATCATTTGTCTTTCTCTTATGAATAAATAAAAAACAGCACATTAAAAGTAGTTTTGTTTTTTGCAGGTGGATCTCAGTCACATTTATGGAGTTTCTCTGGACAGACAACACAAGCTGAGACTTTTCAAGGATGGCAAGCTCAAATATCAGGTATGTCTCTAAAGCTGCACACTTGGCCCTAGTTTGGTACAGTTTAGTTCGCATGTAGACTTGTTGTGGTCCTGTTCAAGTCCTAATTTAGTTCAGTTTAAGTCCCAATTAGAAAACATTGTGTGGGAAATGTTTAAAAGGGTACTACCTAAATTTCAAGTAGTTTTGACTGGGATGTTCCACAAAATCAAAGATAAAAAGTAAATGTATTGAGACACAATGAGACACAAGCAGGTGAGCCTTCCATAGAAAAGTTACACAGTGCTCTTTATCTGGTGCTTGTTACTATGGAGATGTTATTGTTGATATAAACAAATTAACATACAGGTGTGGTTATAGCTAAAAAAAAAAAAACATACGTAACATTGGCTTAAGGTTAATGCCCTACTGTGAAACTTTCTTGGCCAAGCAGTGTACATGTAGGCAAACAGACGACAGACCCTCCACCAGAAAAGTTACACAGCACATCTTTAAATTTGCTTCACAATTTCGTCACCACAAACGCTTACAATTCCTGATTTGTTCTACTTCCACAGATGCTGAATGGAGAGATGTACCCCCCGACAGTGAAGGAGGTCGGTGTGGACATGCACTATCCTCCCCATGTCCCAGAGTCCCAGAGGTTTGCAGTGGGGCATGAAGCTTTTGGCCTGGTCCCTGGTCTCATGATGTACGCTACCATCTGGCTTCGTGAACACAACCGAGTATGTGACGTGCTAAAGGAGGTCCACCCTTACTGGGACGATGAGAGAATATTCCAGACTGCAAGACTCATTCTGATTGGTACGTTTACTCATATACATTTCTATTTGCTTTTTAGTGTTGTCACGATACTAAAACACTAAAACACACAAAAATGTTCAATGCAAAGTAATAGTAGTTTCTTTAATATTATCAGTAACACTTCTATACTTTAATTAGCAAAAGCAAACATTGGACACAGTTTATAATGACTAATTCAGGCTTAATTAATGCATAATCTATTCCTTATCCCTTAATTAAGTAGTTACTAAGCCTTAATCAGTATTAAAAAGCTATTACATCTTTATGAATTATGGTAATTTAAAGTGTCATTATTAAAACGTGGTACCCTCATGTGGTTCAGTACTGATACTTTTTCAAGTTCCGATCATAGTTCTCATATTGATTAGTAACTGGAACAGAATGTAAATGTTTTAACAGTGACTGAATATTTTTGATCACTATTATGGTGTTTCCTGTTCACACAATTATTTATTTTAGTTGTGTGTGTGAACTGAGCAGAACATGAGAAATTTTTGTCCACAAAAGAGGAAGAGGTAGCCTTTAGTGTCTGGGAACCTTTTTTAATGCAAATGAGGCTATATTTATTTGATTATATTTTACTATTCACCACAAAATCTAATATTAGACTAAGCAGGAAAGGAGCTTTGGAGTCCCAAAT